CAATACATAAACCAAACTTTCAATCTCAGACTGCAGCACCAACATGATGTAACCAATAAACAAGATGGCTAAAATTAATACTGGAAAAAATGATATAAAATGTTCTAACTTTGAAATGTGTACAATACATATTAAACAATTATTACTCCTAGGATGATTAATCATGATATAGCATTGCTAAGTGAACTATCAGATGAATTTGTTCATTTCACTCTGTGACCTCTTCCATAACAATTTTATTTCCTTTCTTCCCCTCCCTTCCTTTAGGAGACATTCACAGACAGACATTCGTTCACTAATATGGTTTCTCTTGCTGTCATTTGCCACATTTCAGTAAGGAAACCCAAGAGATCCTACAATGGCACTGTCCTATTAGTCATCTTTTATCTGAACGAATAATATGGGAAGACAGGTACAACCAGGACCTTATGAAAACTCCGTATCTATTTTTTAATATTGTTATTTAAATCAGATATATTTTCAAAAAAGGTAATATCTATAAATGGAGAGATAACTACTGAAGTTACACAACTAATGCTCAATATTACATTAATAAAAGAATCCAATAGAGTACATTGAGTTTCTTTCATGATATAAAAAGTATATTTTTGGAGTATAATCTCAAAATCTCTACTATATCATTAATTATAAAAGCTGAAAAAGAAACACCCTTAAATAAAATATAAATGTTTGATTCCCGACTTCTCCTTCTTTGTACTCCAACTGATTTGCAGTAGTATTGGCATAAACTTCAGAAACCAGATTCTATTTGTATTTATTTTAGTGTGTAATAATATATAATATCAAAGTGGTCCTTGTTTAGATTTCACTGATTCAGTAACTGCTTGAAATTATGACAAGGGAACATATGACATGTCTTTGAAGCTGCAGCCATCAGAGCATACCTGTGGTCATGGGGCCATGATTTGGGAGGTTAGCAACTGATGCAAAATTATAACAGTCACAGTCATTTCATTGCCATTTGTGTCATTCACTGCCGGCTTCTGACAAAGTCAGTGGGAAAGCTGGCAAGAGGCCACAAGAGGCAGTCAGGTATCATCTCGCTTAAATGCTACGTGGGATTCACTTAATGACTGCAGTTCTGACTGGAACTGTCAGAACTGCACCATAAGTGAACACAATGTCAGTTTAAGTAATCCGGACAAAAAACACAAGATGCGCTAATTCTACTTTATTACAAGGCTACATTAACAGAAATTTACAAGTCCGAAAGTATAAATCCCTCCTGTCTCTTTTTACCACCTAATAAGTTAGGGTGGGTCCTTTCTAAGTTTCTTTCTCTGATTGTTTCTCAGTTACTGGTTCCGCCCTCTTCTATCTGATCTTTCCCTAGGCAGTATCTCTTCCTTCTCCCTTCCAAGGTCATTCTCACATTCCACTGTAGGCAATCACATGATTTTCCACTTTGTAACTGCACTGCCTAGTGACAGAGTACCCAGTGACTATTATCTTTGTTAACTTGGGACTACCTGTATATGGAAGCTATTCCTGCTCAAATTTAGTTAAATTTCTGTTATGGATATGTGCAATGTGCAAACTTTGTCCTTGTGGCTGTAAGCATACTTAATAAATAATGGTATTTTTTACTGATATGATTTGGAAATATATCTAATTTAACTAGGTACAATTCCTTTCAATTTTGATGTCTTAAGATTTTCTGAATAGTGCTATGTATATCTTAACAATTCTTTGGGGTTTTTCTGCAAGTCCACCACATATAGAATGTTCCTTCTATCTGATGGGATTTCCGGTCAAATGATAGTTTGGGGTAAATTCTATAGATATGTCCCATAGTTCTTCTCATAGGTACGTTGGGGTTGTTTCTTTAGGGTTTTCACACAAATTTGATTCTTCATAAAATCAAGCCTTAAAGGAAAATTGAGGTTCACTGATACTGATATTGATCCATTGTTTTCACTTAATACTGAGATTTCAAAGGAAAAATATGATCATCAAAAAGTGCCTGATCTGTATAGATAAGCACAGAATTCCAGTTCAGGTACTTAAAATGATAAAGTTGTTTGCTAATTCTCTTAAGTACTGCATACTTTAGAGCAGCAAGATTTGATGCTCTCTCATCAGCTATCTTATAAGGCAGACATGTCAAACACAAGGCCTGCGCGGATGCAGCCAGGGGAGGGCCCAGATTTGGCCCCCTGGGCTGTCCCAGAAATGGCAAGGGACCGGCCCCTGCTGCCCCAGCCCTGGCCCACCACAACCCAGCTGGGTGCTTTGGAGCAGGAAACAGCAGCCATGCAGCAGCAGCAGCAGCTCCTCATTTGTTTTAGCCCGCCCCTCTCCTCCCAGCTTAACCCCATCAGGCCCGGTCAGGAGTGGAAGAGGAGGTGGCTGACAAAAAAGGAGAGCTTTCCCCATTCTTTCACCCCTTCTCTCTTTTTTTTAAACTTCCTCCCACTCCGTTCAGGTGCAGCTGAGGAAAAGGACGAGGAAGAGAAAACAGGAAGGGTGTGTGTGTGTGTGTGTGTGTGTGTGTGTGTGTGTGTGTAAAAGAGAGACAGAAAGACACACACACACACACACACAGAGAGAGAGAGAGAGAGAGAGAGAGAGAGAGAGAGAGAGAGAGAGAGAGAGAGAGAGAGAGAGAGAGCCAGGAAGGGAGAAGGAAGCTGAGGAGAGCTTCCACCTTTCTCTCCCCTTCTCTTTTTTATTAACTTGTGTGTGTGTGTGTGTGTGTGTGTGTGTGTGTGTGTGTGTGTGAGAGAGAGAGAGAGAGAGAGAGAGGGGGGGGGGAGAGAGAGAGAGAGAGAGAGAGAGAGAGAGATTGAGCCAGCAGGGAGTTGCAGAGTAAGCAAATTTACAAAAAGGGGATCTCTCTCTGTCTGTCATACACATACACACATACACGGGAAGATGGTGTGCAGGCAGCTAGAGAGCGAACTTGCAGATTAGCTTTGTGGTCTATTCTTGTCTCCTCCCCTCTCTAAAATCCAGGCAATAATAAAACTTTTTGGATTGAATGGGAAGTTAGGAATTAGTGTGAATTGAAATTAAAAGGCCGAGTCAACTCCCCCCCCCCAAATTATTTTGTCGCAAATAAAAATACTTCCCTTCATCTGCTCTTTTATAATTTAATCTAACCTTACCCAAACTAATATATTTTGGGTGTCATGAACCACAGTTCCCATCATCGGGTAGCTGTGCTGGCTAGAAATGCAATGCCTTATTTTCTCTGCAGTATGTGCCTAGGAGGCAGTAGGTGTGTGGGATTTAGATGTATTTAAACATTTGTTTCTTCTGCCTAATTTATTAAATCAACATCTAATTTGAAATTAAAAGTTTCTGAGAAATCCAGGGTGGTTTACAAGAAAACTCTCAAAGACAGCTATTGTAATATTGCTTAAAACAATATTAAAAGTGGGTGTTTTAAGAAAGAAAAATAGTAGTAGTAATTTACTTAGTGCTGTTTGACCATAAAATGTGTTGTTGTTTTACATATGCCTGGCTGAACAGTGTGTTTGGAGTTGCCTATTAAAGGGGTGAGGATTGCACTGTTCATATTTTCCTTGGGAGAAAGTTCCATAATGCGGGTGCTGTCTCTCAGAAGGCTCTGCTTGTGGCCACTGTTGTATAAACCAAACCAGGGGGACCATCTGGTCTAAATGTATGGTAAACATAGATGATTAGGGGGCTGGAGGCTAAAACATATGGCAAATGTTTGTGGGAATTGGGTATGTCTAGCTTATTGAAAAGGACTAGGGGTGGTGACATGATACCAATATTTGATGGGCTGCCACAGAGAAGAAGGGGTCAACCTATTTTCCAAAGCATCAGAAACCAAATAATAGTTGGAAACTAGTCAAGAAGAAAACAAGCCTAAAACTAAGGTGAAAACAACAACTAACCAGTGAAAAGGCTTGCCTTCAGAAGTTGTGGATGCTCCATCACAAATAAAGGAGAAGAGGGAGGGAGGGAGGGAGGGAGGGAGGGAGGAAGGAAGGAAGGAAGGAAGGAAGGAAGGAAGGAAGGAAGGAAGGAAGGAAGGAAGGAAGGAAGGAAGGAAGGAAGGAAGGAAGGAGATTGGAATAAGAGGGAGGGAGGGAGCGTCTGAGTCCTGCTTTAGCACTTGGTCACCAACAGCCCTGTTGTCCTTTTGCCTTGCCCTGGTGGTCTCCCTCGCATGGAGAGGAAGTGGGTCTCCCTCTGACCCATGCACTTTGTCCTCCTGTACCCACCATGAGTAATCTGGCCAAGGAGAGTGAGCACAGCAGCAGCAGCATTGAGGAGGAGATAAGTGCAGCTGGGCACCCCCTTAGGGAAGTACAGCTAGGCTAGGCAGGGCTGTGGGGTCCTGGTGCCATGGGACTCAAGGGCCGGGCTGGGCACTTGACCTCTGCTGCCCGGGGCTCTAAGCAGTCCATGCCATGTCCAGGGGCCCCGTGCATAGCCTGATGCTCAGTGAGGCTCCTCCAGTGGACCAGGCCCTGGCGCTCGCCCCGTCCCACCCACTCTTCCCCACCCTCGGATGCGCCTCATTCCTGCCCAGGTGCCCCTGACGTGAGTGACATGGAGCTGGCCACACCCACCCAGTAGGCCATGCCCATGCCAGCCACACCAACCCAGCCCCCCAATGGCAACCACGATGCTGATGTGGCCCTCAATGAAATTGAGTTTGACACCCCTGTTATAAGGAAACTATGACAAAATACTATTATTTTGTAAATGTAAATGGGCTTGTGGTATGGGCACCATTATACCACAATGCTCTGAGTAAATTAATAGTAAATTAATAACTTGGTGAAAGTTTCCAAAAAGCTCAGACTCCACTGCTTAAACATGCATAAAGTACAGATGAGTTATCAATTAATCAGGCATGAAGCAAGAATTTGCTCCTCTTCCTGAATTAACTATAGTATATTTAATTAATTGGTTACTGACCATAATGTATTCTTCTTCCTAGCATAGGAATATTGTTTCAGAATTGATAAAAAGCAACAGATATCAAGACAGTAGCTCACCTATCACTCCTGGAACATGTCTGCCTTTGAACCTAAAGCAGGCAGTGACATTTAGACAATTCACTTGTTGTAAGTCATCATGGCACTGAGGAGCTGTGATGTCAATGGACGCTGGCAGGAAAATTGAAATGTCCAATGTAATGACAGGCCGTGATCTTAAAACAATAAGAAAAAAGAGACACTAGATTATTTTCCATACTTCTATAGATCTTTTTAAGTTTAGGCCAAAATAGCTCTTATCTAATTAACTTAAGGGAACTCTTAGTTAAGCTTGCTTAGGACATCAGCTTTAATACTAGTCCTGGAAATAATCAGTTATTCCTCAATTATTCCAGCTCCAAAACAAATACTGTCATATAATAATTAAAAAAGAAAGAGGGGGAGAGAGAAGGGGAGACGAGGACAGGACAGGACTTTAGATACACCACTTTCATTAAGATGCATTACTAGAATTAAAAAATTGAAATAATGCAATAACCTTGTCTGTTAGATAATTAATAATTATAGGTAAAAGGTAAAGGCAAAAGAGTCCTTGCACATTTTACTCCACTAGTTGTTGCCGACTATAGGGAGTGGTGCTCATCTCCATTTCAAAGCCATTGAGCCAGTGCTGTCCAAAGATATTTCTGGGTCATGTGGCCAGCATGACATCCTGGACCACTGTTACCTTCACACCAAAGTGGTACTTATTTATCTACTCACATTTGCTTGCTTTTGAACTGCTAGGTTGGCAGGAGCTGGGCAAGGATGGGAGTTCATCCCACTGCATGGCATTTGGGCCTCACATCTGGACTGCTGGCTTTCCAACTGAAAAGCCCAGCATCTTAACTGTTGAGCCACCGCATATATTTTTATGACAATAGTTATAGGACAAATGAAAAAAATACCCATATGAAAACATGCTATCCAAACAAAAACTAGATGTAGAAGTCCAAATAATTCAATTAGACTAAAACATATGAAGAACATTACAGGAATTATGTATATCTAGACTAATGAAAAGAAGGACTAGAGGTATCATGATAGCAGTATTCCAATATCTAAGGGGCTGCCACAAAGAAGAAGAGGTCAACCTATTTCCCAAAGCACCTGAAGACAGAATAAGAAGCAATGGATGAAAACTAATCAAAGAGAAAATCAACCTAGGACCAAAGAAAAATTTCCTGTCAGTAAAAATAATCAGTGGGACGACCTGCCTCCAGAAGTTGTGGGTGCTCCAACACTGGAAGTTTTTAACAAGAGTTTAGACAATCATTTGTCTGAAATGTTATAAGGTCTCCTGCTTGAGCAGGAGGTTGGACTAGAAGGCTTAAGGTCCCTTCCAACTCTGTTTTATTCTGTTAATTATGTGCAACAGTTGTAAGAGAGAATACGAGAGACAAGACAGCTACATCTAAAGATATAAACCGTACTCCATGACTGGAAAATCCAATCATATAAACCTACTGGAAAAAGAATCACTATATCATGTTATTTCTCGCTGCCTTAAAAAAAAAGCTGGTTTTGGACATAGCTGTACTCATAGAAAATCCATTGAAATTTTGATAGGACTTACTGTGAGTCCTCTGATTATACTTAAGCTGAATTCAACCCATTAAGTTTTTCAGTCTTTTTAGATGCTGGTTGTCAAGCAGAAAGAAAAGGCATCAACATTTAAAATAACTTAAGAGAGAACTAGCTCAGATACTTTCAGCAGGCAATCTGAGTCCTGTGGGAAACATCTCACAAGTTGTTCACACTCAAGATGCCATTAATTGACATTTTAAAAAATAACTTCCTAACAGACTCCAAGCAATTTACTTTCAGAATTGATGTACATTTTCCACCAAGAAGTGAGACCTGGAAATATTAAATTATTTTATAAAGGTATTAAAATATAGTTAAAATATCAATGTTACCTCAATATTATACCTACAACATACAAAGCAACTTATCAGCAGTGCAGAGCTATCCATGGTCTAATTGATTATACTATTAACAAATATATAAAATTTAAACAGTTATTCTTTTAAATGTCATTTTCCACATTTCTGCCATAGTAAAAGTTCATTTTTTTAGAACACTATATATTTACTGTCAAACTTCCAGTATATAATTTTCCTAAATTTAGTAAAATGACACTCTATTTTGGCAAAGTTTAAGCAATTACTCTTTTCAAAACTCCTTTACTTTTTTGAAATGAAATATTCTCAATGTTTCACTATAATTGTTTTACTACACCATATAATAATACCACTAGCAGTATTTTGAGAGAAAAATGCATTTCCCTTTTTGCTATCTAGGAACTGTTGTAAGCTTTTTCACTGCTGCTTTTCTTAATTGGAATCAGATGGTTATTTTCATATTGAACAGTGAGTCCTTTTTCCATATGAAGCGATACAATGAGTTTCACACTACAGGTAATCCTTGAGGTATGATGGAGCACTTAACGACCATTTGAAGTTCAACCTATGTCCCAAAACTACAATGGTTGCAGGGGCCCCTCGTCATTTGCCCTTATAACCTAACCATGGGGTCACTGCAGCACACCCCATCTCTCTCCCCATCCCTTCCTGCCCTGTGCTTGGGCCTCCTCCCCATGTCTCTTAGCAGCCAGACAGGCAGCAAAAACCTTTCCAAACTCTTTGCTCTCTGATTCCCTTTAGAATCCAGTTCATTTAAGATTTGTCATATCTTCCAGCCATAATGGGTAGACTCCATTACAGTCGTAACTCACCTATATGTAATCAGCTGAACATTCACTACATTTTAAGAAAAAAATCATGTATATAAGTGTGAACATAAAATCACAAGTACATGATTTCTACAATTAGTAATAGATTAGTCAGTTGCTTCTTTAAAATCTATAGTGTGTTCTAAGAACTGTTTCCTGTAGTATGCCTTTTAAGGAAACATAATTAAACATGGTCTCAGATTTGCTTCATGAAGTGATTGTGAGAGAGTTGAAATCGAATTCCTATTTTTTTTTTAAATGCAGGATTGGATCAGCATATTTCATGGAAAAGACCTGGGATTAGGAACCACCTGAACAAGTGCAAGAAACAGAAAAAAATAGCAAAAGCAAAATGCATATTTCTGCAAAATTATTTTAAAGTCAATTACAAAAATTATTAATCAACAATACAAACAGATTCTAAAAGAAATACAGTACATCCAGCTGGCACAGGGATATTCATCTAACCCATGACTCCAACTTCAGGACTTATTGCTTGCTTCTCAGCAAATCAACACCTGTTCTGGCATCCCAATTTCTGGGTATTATCTCCTGCAGCCTCTCCTTTCCTTCCTCATGGTTCCAGTCAATCCACCCAAAATTCCACTCAACACCTTAAATATCTGTCCATCTGTAACAGGATACAGTTGCTTCCTGAATTATATATATTCATCTCTTTCTCCATGCCCAGTTAGGTTAGAATAGCAAAACACACACACACACGCACACACACACACACACTCCTATACAAACCTCCAGTAACACTCATTGTGATATTTATATTTTTGTATTTTTCTATCTTGCCTTCAAACTTTTTTTAAAAAAAAACAATGAGATATAATAAGCTTACAAACCAAAAGGGTAAGAGACATGAGGCTTTAGAATACAGGACAAAATAGAAGAGAATTATCAGTTTTTCAAGGCCACAATCAGGTGGCCTTGAAAGATTCTATAAGACAGAATCTTTAGATTGTAATGAAAATTCTTTACAGTTTTACAAATAATAGTGCCCTGAATGAATAGGCCACTGAATGAATAGGCCACTAAATCATTTATAAATTAATATTATTCTCAGCTCAAGTCAACTTTTTGCTTGTATTGTTATATGAAGAAGATGGAACAGACTGAATTTGTTACCCCATTAAACATTTTGCTTAAAGCAGTGAAGGCTGATATGCTGATTTAGGTGGCCACTATTATCAGGGCATTATTATTTATAAAACTGTGTAAAGAATTTTCATCACAATTGCTGATTTAAAGATTTTATCTCATAAAAAGGAAAGGAAATTTTTATTGATTCTCTTTAGCTCCATCTTCTCTTTGTTAGAACAAATCAGGTGCCCATGTAAATGCAACCCTGTGGCCTGAAGAAGTTTAAAGAATATGTCAATGCAGATTTACTTATTAGATTTATATCCTGCCTTTCATTCAGGATATCCTGCCGAGTGTACATCTGTGAGAGGCTAACCACCCCCAATTATCCTTTGAGCTTTCATGGCTGAGGTGAACTTAAATTTAGATTTCTTATTCCTGGTCCAACATCTTCACCACTACATCTCACTGTTTCTCTGATATTTATAACTAAGCTACATCACATTATGACTTAATAAGGTTCCATTTTGACTTGAAGTATGAGACTTCATTCACTGTGTTTTACATGGTTTGAAATACAGTGAATATAATATGTGAATGCACCTATTATATCATATGTTTAAACAACACCAAGAAAAACTATGAAATTCAGCAATTTCCAAAAACACCAGTTAGCTTATTTTGGGGAAAAAATGGAAAGATTTAGTGTATTTTCCATATAGCTCTCTAGGAAATATATATTAATAGCCAATTTATAATGCAATAACCATATTTTATAGTATTTTTCAGATTCAAATCATGATTATCTATCTCCTCCATGCTTGATTATAATGAAAGCTTAACATTTAAACATGCTACACTTTAAGAATCATTGCTGAAGTGGAGCAATAATTTAAAATTATTGAAGGTTGTCAGTCAGAAGAAGGGTACAAAAAACTTTCCAAGTCATTGGATATACCATGAAATATAGTGAAGACAGTCGTGAACAAGTGGAGAAATTATGGCACAACAGTGACGTTATGAAGAACTGGATGTCCCTCCCAAATTGATGAAAAAAACAAGAAAAAAATTGGTTGGAGAGTTGCCAAGAGACCCACAGCAACATTAAAGGAACTGAAGGAATTTCTGGCAAGTACTGGATATATACTACATGTGACAACAATCTCCCATGTTCTTCGTATGTCTGGGCTGTAGGATAGGGTAGCAAAATGGAAGGTTTTTCTTACAAAGGAAAACATCCAAGTCCAGCTATATTTTTCAACACATACACCAAATTTGATAAAAACATGTGGATAAATATGTTATTGTTTGATCTTTTTGGCCATAATTCCAAAAAGTATGTTTGGACAAAAACAACAATGTATATCACCAAAAGAAAACCATATCCACAGTGAAGCATGGTAGTGAGAGCATTATGCGTTGGGGCTGCTTTTCTTCAGCTAGAACTGTACATTGGTCAAAGTGGAAGAAATTATGAACAGTTCCAAATATTAGTCAATTCTGGTACAAAACCTTCAAGACTCTGCTAAAATGCTGCAGGGGAAGAAGAATTTCACCTTTCAACACAACAACCCAAACATACCCCCAAAAGAACAAAAGAATGGCTTGACCAGAAGAAGATCAAAGTTTTGGAATGGCCCAGCCAAAGCCCAGACCTGAATCCAATTGAAAATTTGTGGGGTGATCTGAAGAAGGCAGCGCACAGGAGATGTTCTCATAATCACAGAGATGTGGAACACTTTTGCAAAGAAGAGTGGGCAAACTTTCCCAAGGCAAGAGGGACTGAATGTTGTCATAAAATCAAAAGGTGTTTCAACAAAGTATTAGTTTAAGGATGTGCACACTTATACAAACAAATTATTATAATTTTTCCTCTTAAAGAGTTCAGTTTGTTCTTCAACTGAATTCTACAGCTTATATGTTATATTAAAGTGGAAAAAAATCTGAAATGATTTATCTTGGTCTGATTATTTTACATCTCAAAAAGCTGGCATTATAAAAGGGGTGTGTAGACTTTTTATATCCACTGTAGATAAGTTTGTTACATCCCTACAAAATAATTATATTCATATTAATTTTATCTTAATATTGTGAAATCCACAGTGTTTTACATTATTATAAAAATGACATGCATGTTCATATTTAATGAGCAATTAAGAATGATATATACCTCATTATTCAGGTTTTACCATCTTAAACTTAATCTATAAAGTAAATTCTTTTTCTATTTACCTAAGCTTTACTCTCTTGGGAGAGGGGAGATCAGAAAAGAGAGGCCTCCTTATATATTTTAGGGAAATACAAGTTTCCCATCATGTAGAAATCAAACCCTCATTTAAGAAAAAACCAAATCCAGAGTCTGTGATAGCTTCTATAAAACAAATATAATGTCTTTGACTCGCTTGTTCAATTGGATTCTCTTTATTTAATTTTAGAACTTGTGTGGAGAACAGATCATGTTTTAATTGATATTTATGCAGAAATTTTAAATTCAAACAAGTTCAAAAAATTTTAAGCACCGTTGTTCATATAAATATACCGTAGGACCAAATTTATGAAATTGCTTGTTGTAGAAAAGTGTCAAAAATAAGAAACCATGTCTAAAAATGTTCAAACACATCAAGATAATAGCAATTTTCTATCAATCAGTTCAAACATGACAGTCAATGGAGATTGGACATACCCAAGGAAAAAAATGTCACTTCATTTTTTTTTCCAGCATTCACTATCAACCTACTTTGATTATTTTCTGCCATGTTACTACAGCTGCTTCCTCTAATCAGATAATCTACATACAATTTCTCTTAAAATCTGCCTCAATGGATACAGATGCTTTTTTTGTTGTTTTAGAAAAAACATAACTGCTGCCTTTCCTAATTCTGCAATCTCAAACCATCTATTTAACTAGACAAAATTGATGAGTTGCTTTAAAGAATGCCTTAATACAGAGGTTCCCAACCTATGGGCCGGGCCCACTACCGGGCCGCGGGAGTGGCTGGCCAGTGCATGCACGCATGTGTTCTCACTCACCCCGTTCTTGCGTCGGCACTAGCCAAGCTGCGAATTTCACACTGGTGCTAGCTTACCACGACCTGCAAGCTGGCACTAGAACCGCACACTGGCACTAATAGCCCCATTTGCAGAGTGTGCATGCTCATGGCCCTGTTCGCACACATGTACATACAGCCACATTTGTGTGTGCACGCAAGAGCACATAAAGGTGCTGTCCCTCCCTTTCCGAGTGGGCTGCCAACCCAGAAAGGTTGGCGACCCCTGCCTTAACAGAAATAGACTTATTTCTTCGTATTTCTTCAATACCTCTTATGCACTATTACCAGAGCTGTTTACAATCTGTAAGCAAGCAGGATATTACTGTATATGGGACCTTGTGTATCATTTGAAAGCATCGTGATGGAATATTAAATCATGAAAAGCCTGTATTACAGGAACCAAATACAAACTTCCAGATGAGAATTTTCTTGTACAAGCCTACTGCCTTATTCAGAAAATTTTAAGGGGGAGCCAGATGTCACCCTCAGCTTGTAAACTTCCAGTATTTTCCTACCATTGCTTTTTCTCTTTTTCTTCTCATTGAAAATCCATTAAAAGGAAAGAGATAGAGAGAGGGATGGACAGACAGGCAATAGATGTACACTGCCTCTTATTGGGAATACTAGAAGTTGTGGGTCTAGAACAGACATGTCAAACTTGCGATATCACGTGACGTTGTGTGAAGTATCGGAGCTTTTTTCCCACTGCCGGCAATGAGGTGAGTGCAATTTCCTGGTGACACATCCGGCCCGCGGGCCGGCAGTTTGACACCCTTGGTCTAGAAGTATATGAACAAGCAATGTACCCTGAGCTACAGTTGTTTGCACACTATGATATACCAGTACTACTGCCCTAACCTGTTTGAAAGTAAAAGTATTAATAAACAATCACTTCTATCAGCTCCATTGTTTATGCAATCAGTAACAAATTTATGCAATTCAATTTGGAATTCAGTTTGAAAATGTAATTTTGGATACAGTGCTTACGAGAATTTTGTTTCTTCTAAAGCCAAGCAAGGGACAGCAAGTATAGTACAAGAAATAAGATAAATAGCACTCACCTTAGAAGAACTACATTGTTTGACATAAAGGCACCAATTGTCACGTCTGGAAAAAAAGTTGGTAGCATTTAGAACAAGCATGATTCCTGACCTCCACAAATTTAAATGAATAAAAGCAATTCAATGTTTTTAGGATCTTCTCCTGAAATATAATTTTCCAGGACAATACATTCCTGAACATTCTCCTTATATCAGTAGGTAAGATATATTTTCATTATAAAATGCCCGTCTTGATTCATGTCAAGAAAGGAATAAAGGAATAACCAGCTAATGTTTGGTTATTAAGTTTATCATAGTTTAATTCACCATCCAGTTACTAAGCTGCACTATGAATAGTTTCTACGTTTCTCAGAACTGATCCCAGGAGGCCAAGTTTCATGATTTGTGAATATACAATTATTGTTTATCTTTTAAAACTTTATATAATTTATATTCCTTGATTTCTAGCATTGGATTCAGATCTATTTCAAACTTAGAATAGTCCAACCAATCCCCACCCCCTTTGCCTTACATTCACTGAAAACATGTTTTTATATAAAGTAGACAGATTTTAACAAAAACAATGGACATATGAATCCTTGACTCTTTAGTCCTTTCATTAATTTTATCAATTTATTTGCATTAAACCATCTAAGTCTACCTGGATAACCATTTCCATCCATATCAATTCCTCCAGAAATGGACTGGCCAAACATCTGCAACCTTGGACTTAACTTCCTTCCAGATATTTTCTGCAACAAACAATTCAGAACTGAAATCAATCAAATCAAACAAAAACACAATGTTTATGTTCTATATATTTGATAAGATTCACTGCAAATTTATCACATTTTGATAGAATTGAGCTGACTGGCTGTGAAACATATATTATCTCCAAGTTATATAAATGAGAAAGATGGTTTATACACAGGCATGTATATATGCTCATATACTGATGTCAATACTATCATACAGATTTTATTTATTTAATTTGTATGCTGCCCATCTCAGTGTCAAGCAATTCTGGTGGCTTACAACATTATAAAGCAAAAATATTAAAACATTCAACATTAAAAATGAACAAAGTTAAGTTTGGGACCAGAATACAAATAAAGTGGAGCTGGGATCTTCATTAACAACCTCTCCATTAACCACATCTAGGATAGATGCCCCCATCAGTCTGTCCCAAAAGTGCTTTTTTGAGAGGCAACTGGACTTTCTTGGTTTTTTCCCCTTAAAATAATTCACTCTTATCCAAGAAGTTTCTTCAGTTCTCACTTTATGGATGAGAAGTGAAACATTTTCAAGGAAAAAAAAACAAGAAAAAACAAGAAAAAACAAGAAAATCCAGTTGTCTTTTGAAAAAGCACCTTTGGAACAAAGATGACCTGGATGATTGAGAATCTCCACAGACAGGATTTGAGGCTCTTTCAGAGGGTCAAGAGGGTAAGGGGGCACGATATTCCAAACAGTGGGAGCCATGGGGAAAAAAGGCTCTTCTCCTGGAGCTACCAACCAGAATTCCTTGACCGATGGGGTCAAAATGCAAGATTTTCCACTCTCAATTAAGGCATCATCACTGGATCTAATGTACTGATACTAAGCCTCTGTTGTTTGAGAAGCAATAGGGGTTTTTTCTTTCGGAGAAAACATATACTGGCTTTATTATATTGCTTAAATCAGAAAAAGATGAGGGCATATCCCACTGAACAAACTGTTGACTCTTTTTCCCTACTTGTCCAATGGAGATGATTCACAGTTCATCATTACATCTATAATATTACAATTAATGGGCTTGTTAGATTATACAGGCTACTGTTATGCTGAAAAAATAGTAGTAGTGCCTTGCTACAGGGTTGGAACAAATAAGGACAATTAATATATCTTTAAATTTAAACATACAGGAACTATCTTTGCAAGGAAGTCATTATGTCTCTGACTCCTATTGATCCAAAATTTGCAATGCAGATGTTCAAGTGTAATGAGCCTCTGCTCATCCACAGAACAAATTCAATGTTTAACTAAGAAACTTTATTGGAGAACATTGTCCATTCTATAGGAGATTGGTATTTCTTCGTAAGAGATGGGAATGCAACATTCTGCATTTTTGTTTTAGTTTAGCCATTTTCTACTGGCAAAATGGAATTTTAAATAAAAATAGCCCTGTCCCATTGTCAGATGGGAGAAATGAGGGAAAACTGCAGATATAAAAGAGGGAGAAGGAGCTTTTAAATCTTCTGTTTCAAAAAAAAAGTTATAAAGAAAATGTTGCCACTTTTAGAAATGAAGGCAAAAGAAAGCAGCTGGACTCCTCAAATTACATTTACACAAGAGAATGTGGCTTGGATTTTGCGGGGGTCCCCGTTAGGGTGGTAAATACAGAGCTATACAATATATATCCCACAGACATCTGCAGGCTATTAGGATATAAAAGTTGGAGAATAATTCTACACAGTTTTGAGAGCTGTAAATGAAAGCAAGGGCTGCAAAACTCAGCTTGATAGTATTTATTTAATAGAGACAATTATTTGCCAACTTCTTAAGGTACTTCAGGTATGCCCAGTATTTTTCTGTATCAGACGGTTCTAAAATTTTATCATAGCATCTATAACAAAATGCCCTCTCATCAAACAGTTGTGTATTATGTGTGTAAGAGAAAGAGGGAGAGGGAAAGAGAGAGGGAACCAGAGAAAGAGAGAATGAGAATGTTTTACAAAATCCACAGCATCTGGATGGTTCAGTAACCAGGCCCAAAGCCCTTTACCCTAAGTTTACTGGTTCAAATAGAGGCCAGGTAGGCAGATGTTACAAATTAAACATCTGAAAGTGTTTGATGGATTTGTGAGGCAAATAAATGACTGACCTACAGCCCTGGTCTATGTGAACATGGCAAAGCAATATAATACAACCATTAGAAGCCTGAGGCAAAAAAGAGAGAGAGAAAAAAAAGAATGAGATCAAAGACAAAAATAGGAAATTATGGAGAAGAACTTTTTCTAAAAATCCAAAAGATTCAGCAGTTATTTTAACTATGCCAATATTAATGTCCCTTTATATAAACTCCAATATTGTCTCATGTGTGTGTGTGTGGGGGGGGAAGCAGATATTCAGATATCATCAACCAAGCTAACAGTATGCATCTGAATCAGTTCTGATGTTCCCACTCTCCTCCCTATGGACATAAATAATTGTCCATGCATCACAAATTATCACTTTCACAAACGATCATAAAAAGGGGTTTAGCATATGTTATTGTGTTTCAAAGGAGAGTTAATGCATTCTAAAACAGTCAGCAAACAGCAGAACTAATCATCTACAGATTTCTCAAATGATCTCAGAGGCAATCACTAAACTCTGACTTAGCATCCCTCATAAACCCCCACCCAGCAACAAAGAAAAATATTTAGATCAGTACTTTAAACAGCTGAAGGATAAAAAAAAAAAAGACTTTTTTTCCATAAGCCCTTTCTAAAGCAAAAATGTAACACAAACCAGCTTGGGGCAAAAGGCTCATGATATGATCTAGTAACACATATTCTGAAAAATCAGTATTTATTAAAAGAAGGAGAATTGATTTTCGACTTTCACTATTACAGCCAAGAATCTAAGATGTCAACAGGAAAACATTTTAGAAAAAAATAATGGAATAGATATTAAATTAAGCTGTTGTTTCCTTATTGTAACCTACAAAATCTTGTTATGGCATGTTATTTATTTTTAATTATTTATAACCCACCTTTATTATTTTTACAAATAACTTAAGGTGGCAAACATATATAACACACCTTCCTCCTCCAATTGTCCCCACAACAAGCCTGTATGGTGGGTTGGATTGAGAAAGAGCGATTCGTTCTAAGTCACCCAGCTGATTTTCATACTAAGGCAGGACTTGAATTAATTACTCTCCACTTTCTAGATGGGTGCTAAGGACCTGAAGATAAAGCATGAGATTTTAAGATGAAATAAAAAAAACCCAATGTGATTATTTTGGCCTTGGGAGTGTGGGTATTTTTTTTTACTTTATTTCTGCATAATAAAGAAAAGTCATTATTTTTCCCCCCATGGTAAGTCTTTAAATTAAAACTTGAAATACCAGCTTAAATTATATAAACATGTGATGAATATTTTCAATGACTATCTTGTGTTGGGAGTATCAAGAGGGGAGGAACTATTACAAACCATTAAGTGGTTTCAATGTTGATGGCAGATTATTGACAACAGCCCCTCAAGTGAAACCCTATTTCACATTTTATTGTGGCAGAAAGACTGTGAAAGGGTAAAAGAGGGATCAGAGGAGAATCACTACTGTAGCCACAAATGAACAACGTCCCACCTTGATTGCTGATGACACTTATCTAACTCTGAGCAGGTTCCGACCATTCCTTGAGAATATTCCTGTGCATAAGCTTTTAGCAATAACTCAGTTAAATTGAACCTTCATGTTTAGACCTGGTCTTTTAAGCAATAGGCTACTTCCTAACTTTTGCCCTATTCTTACAAATCCTTGTAACATTTAGTACTTACCATGGAATATCGAGGAATGATGCCCCCAATGTATCCGTGATAAATATATACTGCTCCTGCATAGTCATCTTCTTTAGGAGCACCAATGGCAACATCTACAAAAGGCCAAACAACATAAGAAGTGAATTTTTTTAGTTATGAAGGTGAATTCTTTCTACAGCTACCTTCTTTAACACAAAGATAGGAGTAACTGCCTTAATGGCAATCTAATTTGCAGAATATTACTTCATTTCATAAGCACTGGCTATTTAAAAACAAATAAACCCTTGGATGTGTATTTCACCCAATAAAAACATGTGTTTAGGTTCTGTGAATACCAATTATGCATAGGAGAATACTTATCCATCTTGGCTTGCTTTATTAATATCAAGGGAGATCTTAGGTAACTGTAGATGAATCTATGAGTTGCACAGAGAATACAATTCCATACCACAGAGAAATCTTTTCAAAATGTTCTGGTCTTTAAAACACTATGATAATGCAAATTAACTGAGGTGTGGGATTCAACAGCCAATCTATAACTGTATGGTTTTTGTTGTTTTATTTTGTCTAGGTAACATACAATTAGATCATTTAAGTTCGTTTAGATTATATTTATTAACACATTGTGAAGTTGCTTAAAAATCACAACTGGAAATTTTAATCATTAGAAAAAAACTACCTTTAATTTATCTAGCAGGACCCAATACTACTCTTAAGCCAAAAATACACCCCAATGCACCTGTCTCTTCATTAAATCAACAAATTATATACATATAATTGTGATAGTTCAATATTATTATATGTACTTTGTAAATACCAGATTTATCTTGCTAAAGCAAGAAAGAACAAGGCCTGGTGCAAAAGAAAATATACTGACCTGGAAATCCATCATCATCAATGTCCCCAAGGGATGCCATGCTTTCCCCAAAGTGTGCGTTGTAGGCATTATCACCATTCAGAACACGTTGCTCTTCCATAACTCCCTAGCAAACAGGAAATAGCCAGGCTAAGAAAAATAGAGGCTAGTGTTGAAAGATGCATGACCTCTGGTGCTGGAAGAATCATATATATATATATATATATATATATATATATATATATATATATATATATATATATTATATATATATATATATATATATATATATATATATGTCCTTCAGGAAACACCTGGAACATATCTGGGGTAAGATTCCTGAACTTCTGACCATATGCTTCAGTCAGTGCAACTACTCAGATATGATAGAGATGAAATCAGTGTAAATTTAAAAAGCATTCAATTTTTCCTGAAAACAAAATCACTGGTCTGGATATCACTGCAAAGACCAATACATGGCAAATCTAATTTCTCAAACTCCAAAACACAAAAAAATCTCATGCATGTCAAGTTCTTCATATGCGTTACAGCAAAAAGCCAAACAGCTAATGAAGTATATAGCTTCTATTCTGTTCAAATGAACAGCTGGAAGAAAATTTTAGAATACAAGATATTCAGCAAAATTATCCCATAATCACTGGAACTGGGACAGATAAATCAGTTCAATTAGTGTTAAAATAACTGAATTAAACATGTTGATCCATCAACAGCACACAAAAAAATGTGTATTTTTTTTTCTTTATCCACCAATGAACCATACTGATGTCACAACAGGATTGTTTTAGAAGAAATATTCCCTCTTCTGTATAGGAAAACAGGGAATACCTCTTCTGTAATATTAACTGCAGCAATATCTGCATAAATAATTAGAAAACAAAATGAACTAGTAATAGGTATGCAACTATATAAGAATATACCATATATGCCGGCGTGTAAGACGACTTCCGGAAGCGCTAAACTCGGCGCCAAAGACGGGGGTCGTCTTATACGCTGAGTCGTCTTATACGCCGGAAATACTGGTAGTTTCCGGCGTATAAGACGACGTTCTAGGAATGCGGCTCGGCGATAAAGACGGGAGTCGTCTTATACGCCGGGTCGCCTAATATGCCGGCATATGCGGTAGTTAATCAGGATTTCTTTAACTGTGAAGGCCTTGAAAATAGACTGCTCTCTTTAGTATACCAAAAAGTGTAAACACCAACTGGTAGATCCATACATAGAATATAAGAGCCGAGGTGGTGCAGCAGTTAGAGTGCAGTACTGCAGGCCACTTTAGCTGACTGTGTTCAGCAGGTCAGCGGTTCAAATCTCACCAGCTCAAGGTTGACTCAGCCTTCCATCCTTCCGGGGTAGGTAAAATGAGGACCCAGATTGTTGGGGGCAATGTAAAATATATATATGCATTGCTTACTGGTGTACACCGCTTAGAGAGTGCTTGCACTTAAAGCGGTATATAAGTCTCATAAATAAATAAATAAATAAACAATATTGTATCTTTGGCAAAGCCTCTGTTGCAAAATGCCAAAATACTTAGCATCACAAAGAACAAGCAAAACACAAAGCCCAAGAAATAATCCAGTTGATTCAAATAACAGAAGAGAGATTTTGACTGAACAGTAGCACGAAATTTATAATTTGCCAGGGGAAGTAGTCTGGAAGGCCAACTCCTGGTAGTTGTAAATTTCCCTTAAAAACAGGGGTTGAACCAAATGACCTTTGTAATCCCCTTCAGTTCTAGGATTCTATATATAATAAATGCAATACATAGTTTTTGGAAGCGTGTTCCACTAATCTATATTTTCCAAACCATGGACTTAATCTGAACTTCTATCATGGTTAAAGCATGTTTCACTACAGTTTCTAACTTGTAGTATAGGTGCCACTTGTGATGGGCAAATTCCCCTGGTTTCAATCTGGAACTGAGCATAGAAAATTAAGTTAGTAAATAGCTGTCCCATTCTAAATCTGAAAATTCCTGTCATCAGGTATAACAATGGGCTTAAATATTAAACATATCCAATCTTGTAATTCCCCCAGTCCCACTGAGAACCTACAGGACTTGCTCTACCTATAAATTTCCCAAATACCAGCAGGAAAAGAGGCCTCTTTGAATTTTTTTGTGGGAATTGACATCCCCCCCCTCTCTCTAATATGGTACCCAGACATTCTGAAGGCCCTGGGAATCCCTCTGGAGTGCCTTGCATTTTCAGATTTCCTATTATTGTCATGTACTAGGAAAGAAAAGTTCACATAGGCTTCCAGTGAAAAGTTACAAGGAGCAAGTGTCAGGAAACAGGAGGGAGAAAGACAATTCAGACCTGCATTCAACTTGGAGAAGTCTATTGTGATTTAATAGTGCCCGAAATTGTCTACTACAGAGTCATACATGTCACATTGCTTGTTTTGCAACCTGCATGTAGATCACGGGTCCCCAACCCCCGGTCTGTGGACCAGTACCAGGCTACAGCATGCTAACAACCGGGCCACACAAACAAGCAAAGCCTAATCCGCGAGATGCAGGTAGCACACAAAACCACGCACCTTCTGGTCCACCGAAAAACCTCTCTGCATGGAACCAGTCCCTGGTGCCCAAAAGGTTGGTGACCTCTGATGTAGATGGTACAACATTGGTTGATTCTTTGACTTGGACATAGTTGCCCATAATTATATAAGTGCTTTCCTCTGGGAATCAGTTTCAAAATCAATTTTCAAAAAAATTAGGACTCCAAGGAGTTGTGGGAGGCAAAATATGATGGGAACAAAGTGAAGTTACTCAGGGAGGATTTTTCAATCTTTTTTGTTTTTTCAAGACTTAACCCTGAAGAGTGCAGTGTGCCAAACACACTATTTCAACCACTATTTTGGTCTTATTTGGTTTAAAACATAGAAATAAAAACTCCCCCAATTTGACATTTTCTTTCACCAAATATTGTTCTGGAGAAGGGGAGAGAGAGGGGGGATGTTCTTTGGTGGCTACAGGATCAACATGTAATCTGTGATTTAATCAAACAGCTTTGCCTGGCACTCTCCAAATGCATTCCCAGCACTGACTAGGAGCCTTGGTAGGGTTCCAAACGATGGAGAAATAATCACAGAAGGGAAGCATTAGATCAGAATGAAAATGATAAGTGCATATTCTTCATGTTCTTCAGAACTAAAAAGCTTGCTCTATCAGAGTTCTCATTCAGGGATAATATGTTAAACATTCTCACCAAAGCCTATACAGAATCCTCCTTCAGACTTTACCATTAGTTGCAAAAGAGTCAAGAATAAAGATAACCTCACTAAAATAATTCCTTTAAATTATGTTTTAAAAGAGGTAGTGATAAATTTAATACATACTTTCTAATGCAAAGAGTTAATTGTTTCCCAGGGTAGTCCACCATTAATATATGCTTTGATGCTCTTTGTTTTCGAGACTTATTGATTTCAAGAGTTAATACTTTCATTGCATGCTTGTTATATTGTTTTTAGATTCTAACCAGTTCCCTCACAATTAATTAGGAGACTGAGTTCAAGTGTTGGCCTAGCTATGAAATTTGAGCAAAACATCTATTAGCAGGCTAATGGCCTTTGTGACATTATTAAGAGAATGGTTCCACTTAGAACTATCATAGGAAAGAGCAAAATCCATTAATCAATAATCAAGATAGAGCTTAATTTATAAATGAGATACTAAAGCTCAGACAATATAATTAACTGGAGATAAATAATTCTGCAATCTAAACTATGTCTGGATGTATCTCTACAACATTCCATACTGGAGGCCCAGCTTGAAACTCAACGATAGGCTCAAGATCCAAATGGATCTTGACAAACTTGAACATTGGGCCCTACCCAACAAAATGAAATTTAACATAGAGAAAAGTAAGGTTTACACTTAGATAAGAAAAAACAAAAGTACAGGTACAGATTAGGTAAAACCTGGCTCGAAAGCAGAACTGTGAGAAGAATCTTGGAATCCTAGTGGACAATCACTTAAATATGAGCCAGCAGTATACAGCAACAGCCAACAAAGCTAATGCAATCTTTGGTTGCATAAACAGAGGGATAGAATCAAGGTCATGTGAAGTTTTAGTACTGCTTTATAAAACCTTAGTAAGACCACACCTGGAATACTGCATCTTTTTGTCGCCACATTATAAAAAAAATATTGAGACTTTGAAAAGAATGCAGAGAAGAGCAACTAAGATGATTCAGGGCCTAGAGACTAAAACATATGAAGAATGGTTACAGGAATTGGATATGGCTAGTCTAGAGAAAAGAAGGATTAGGGGTGACATGATAGCAGGAAACTTTCCAGGAAAGATTCAAGCTTATGGCAAGCTACTGTGCCCATCTGACCTCAAATGACCCCAAATGTCATGACTTATGACCCATTTGTTTTAAAACCAAAGCACAGAAAGCATTTATTTGGGATGGAAGACTTTTTTTTGCAAACAGAAGCATCTCTGAGAAAGCCCATATGGCTCATCCTTCTTCCAAACAATCTGTGGTCATCTCAGACGACAGGAAACTGATGTTGATTATTTCCCTAGGCAACCTCTGGGCCACACAGTTGTGCAATGTACTCATTTGAAATGAAAAATCTTCTCCTGAGAACTAACTGTTGGGGAGAAGGGTGTTTCAGCAGAGTCAAAATAAAAGCCATTTCCTGTTGTCTCTTTTCACAGGGGTTCACTTCTCAAAATTTGGCATGAAGATAAAACAGTACTAATTCAGTCTCCCAAGGCATACCATGGCTGGTCATAAAGTTGCCATATTTAAACAAAAAGAAAAGTACTGAATCAGAGTCATTAAGTAGAATGATCCTGCTGAGCATACCTTGAAAATAATTCCCTATGTGAACAGTACTAGCATATTAGCACATAATACAACCCAAAATATGAACGGCAAAATAGTTATAAATTCTGGCTTTCGGGAGCATATTTTGCATCAATTTTGGAATCAAATGCCATACAAACTTAACTTATATACTCTCGTCAAATATTTGCTATCACAATGCATCTTAATAACTTGCAATTCTCCCAGATACATCTTAATAATTTCTTTAATCTCATCCATCTATCTCTGAATGACTTACTTTCTATGAATGGCAAAACAAACAAGTTACTAATAGGCTACCAATACCCACTTATTAACTCTGCAGCTGGTCAGATACACTTTCTACAGCTTTCTTAATCATAGCAATTACTGGCTGTAATGAAAGTCTAGGCCTACTAAGGCCATGTATATATATATAACTGTAGATCTGAAGTATGTGATCCAAAGTTTCTGGAGCTAATAAATTCACCTGGAAAGGCTGAAGTACAACAAAGAGCTGACTTTGCTTATCTGGCCAAGACAAATCTAGGCTTCTACATAACACTGGCTCAGTTCCTAATTCCGTAATTTGCTATATTTTGCTACATATCTTCTAATGCACAATCTTCATGATGGGTTCCTTCATTTGTTCTAAACCTCATGTCCCAGTTCAAACATCAGAATCCTTGATAATAAGAATGAAACTGGACTATGCAGAGACTGAAAGCCTTCAGAGACTTTCTCTCTTTCTCTGCATATATGTTTGTGTGTGTATATAATACACACACAAACACACACACACACACAAGACCTCTAAAAACCTTCTTATTATTTCCTCTCACAGTAAGTCTGCTTGGCTCCATCTTTGTTTTTCAGGGTGTTCTAATCTTTTCAGTGCTTTTTAAGGATACCTTCATGAAGACAGAATGTATTGCTTTGCTTTTCCATACAGGTTTATGGCGTTTTAGAAACAGCTTGGGTTTTTTAAAAAAAAAAAAAATGAAAAGTGTAGTAATAAAGGATCAAATGTACTAAAAATAAGAATAATCTAGGCTGTAGATCTGAGAAATGAAACTTTTCTGTGAAACATGTTTCCATAATAAATCAGAGACATCCCAGTATTCTCTCGTTTGTGTTATAACAGATTTGTCCACTCTTGCACAAGAAGGAATTCAAATAGACTTTATAATATTCTAAGAGATAATAAAAACACATGCATCTCATTTTATTAAAACTGAAATTGGAAAACTGCAATCCCACCTTTATTTATTTATTTATTTATGAGACTTATATACCGCTTTAAGTGCAAGCACTCTCTAGGCGGTGTACACCAGTAAGCAATGTATATATATATTTACATTGCCCCCAACAATCTGGGTCCTCATTTTACCTACCCCGGAAGGATGGAAGGCTGAGTCAACCTTGAGCCGGTGAGATTTGAACCGCTGACCTGCTGAACACAGTCAGCTAAAGTGGTCTGCAGTACTGCACTCTAACTGCTGCGCCACCTCGGATTTGCTTAATGCCCTAAGACCAAATTCACATAATACAGTACAATTGGGATCAGTATTACAAAGACTTCTACAAGCTATTAGCTGGCTTCGTTCATATACTTACATTTCCTCTGCTGAGGAAGACAGTGACTTGACCTTCATCCCGAATCTCAGAGAACATGGGTGCTCCCACCAGGAGGTCTGAAAGTCCATCAGAATTCAGATCAACTGTACATAAGGAGGAGCCAAAGTAAGAGCCCATCTGCAACCAAGCCGAGTCACAACAAAGCATTCAGTATATTGTCCACACACAAGAGGAAATCACACAAACTTTTTTTTTCCAAGTGAAAAAACAACTTACTGATCCATCTCACAACCAGCAGCTGTAAATACCAATTGCAAGAGTTTTCTAAAATCAGCTGGATAGGGCAGCTGCTCTTTTTGTTATAGACTGGATTTGATATTTTTATCCACCATTTTATCAAGACTGAGGATAGGCAGTTGTTTGATGGTGTTAAAAGTATTGTTGCAAGATGTCATCTGTTCCAAGTAAAGCTGCCTTTGCAATTGACTGATTGTGATTATTTTTCAATACCAATGCTGTTCAAGTGGTGCACCAGTTGTTTTGGTACTACTATTGTTACTACTTTTATTTTATTTTATTTTTTGCCACAATCATTCTACTATTATTTGCAGGCCTTTGTATTTTGTGATTTTTCTCCAGTGCTTTCTCTTCTCCTGTCTTCCAGGTATTGCTTTGTCTATTATCTTTCTTATCAACAATTGTTAAGTCTATATTATTATCATCATCATTTTTATTTTTAAAAGCATCACATCTTTAATTTCTAGCTTATTTTATTTGTCTTCTATCCCATCTTCCTTTTACAGCACAAAGCAATACAGGTAGCCCCTTCCCCCTTCCATTTCCCCACAAGAATCACCCTTGACTATGCAGCAAAAGTAATTACTTTAATTACTGGATCTCTGGCATTTAGAGAATACTGGTGTGGGTCCCTCAGTGTTGGCCACACTAGCTTGGGTACTGGGAATTGTTATTCTGCTTCTTTTTAAAGCTTTCCTAGTCTTGCTTTAGACATACCTGGACTAATGAAGTGATTATGATGATTCACCTATATCTGTAAACATTTCAGGGTACATGTAGGACATCTTTTTAAAAAAGAATCAAACAAATGCAGTGTAAAAAATATTATCTGGATACTTTTTTAACCATTTTCTTGCAGATTCCAAACAACGTATGATCACCTCAATGGAGTTAAAAGAGAGAATTAAGTCAATGTAAGTAAATGTCTATGGATAATCTCAGTCATCCAGATCATGGTTGTCCCAAAGATGCTTTTTCAAGAGGCAACTGGACTGTCCTGTTTTTCTTCTAAGATGTTTTGTTTTGAACTGAAGAAGCTTCTTGGATGAGAAGAGAAACATCTTCAAAGAAAAACAAGGAAGTCCAGTTGAAAAAGCACCTTTGGATCAGGAAGTAGATGTGGCCTCAGCAACCGAAAAGTTCAGGTTTTTTAATAAGAAGATCAGGTCAGGAATATTGACAGAAGGAACAAAAAGATAGACCTATGGCAGGCAAATTATGCCTAAAAATGCACTGATATATAGTTCAGTAATACTGGAAACTATTATCAGCTCAAAAATTCATCCAAAGATTGAATCCATGGCAAATTACTTAAAGAAGAGGTTTCAAGTTATTATAGAATAATAACTTCATGAGAACCTAAAAGTCCAAGGGCAGAATGCTTGTGTGAACTCGTCAACCTTCTTCTCATTGCATCTTGTATCAATGTAATATTTTTTTCTCCATTTCTTTTCACCCAAGTCAATGGCCCTTCAAATGGGAGGGTCTGGGAAACTCAAAATACTATTTAAAAAAACACTTTGTGCAAGCACAGATAATTAGTTTTACTGCCCCTCAGTAAAAGATTCATTCCATTTAATAATTTAAATACTGAAATTTAAAGGATTTTTGAACGGTTACGCCTATTTAAAATGAGTTCAGCTTGAGGACCATTCCAAAGATAAAATGGTTTGAAATACAGCTGTTGATACAGTGACCAGGTATAGTGATTTGCCAACTACATAGTGATATAGTGACCAGGTATACTTGATTTATTCACAAGGTATCATTTTTTCCAGGAACTGCACTGATTCCTTGCAAATGTTCAGATTCAATTTAAGATGCTAATTATTACCTTTAATAACCCTAACCCATACAGCCCTATAAGTATTGGCTCCAAGATACAGTCTGCTCCAAATGGAATTGCTTATCTCATAAGAACCAGTGGAGAGGGCATATTAAAATTGTCTCACCTGGAAATATAAGCAAGAAGAGGCCTAGAGAAAGCCCACTTTGCAAGGTGTTATTCTCTGAAATAACCTACCTCTAGAGACAAAGATTGCTTTGTTCCTATTGGTTATCCAGAAGTCTGTCAATAGTCTGCCTTTCTTTTCCATGCAGCTTTTGAGGGTGGAATGGAAATATAATGTTCTTAGTGGATAAGACAGTGTAGGAGATGACCAAACTGAGCCCAAGGGAGGGGTCAAATGCTCATAAGTCACGAATCCCTTCACACTAGCAAGAGATCTAAGTCCAGTCCACCTTGATTGTCTCACTTACCTTTCCCATATTTCCCTTAATGGTCAATTGGCCATAATTTTGTAGAGAGCTTAAGCTTGCAATAAATATTTATACTCATTTGAATTGCCTGAATCTCCTTTTTCCCGGGCGCTTGACAGAGAGTTTATTATACTGATTTATTTTTCAAAACCTAATTGTTATAATAGACAATTGTTCTTTGGATTGAAGTGACCGGACTGAAAAAAGACTCTATTCAGCAGATTTAAGACTGAAGAGACACACACCACATGATTTGATTTCAAAATTACTATGACAGCATCACGTATCTATGATAGTGGCATCAAACAGACTCTCAACATTATGAAATAATATGCTATATATTGGAGGTACACAGGATGGAAACATTTTATGCAGTTTTCACAAGGAAACTCCGACTTAAGAAGCTGCCCTGAATTGTGAATATGCTTTGGATTTTTGCCAAGAAATGCTAAGTATCCTTCATTCATTGTGAAAATACGACTCACTGGACTAAAATATAATTGAATTGTTTATTTCTAAATGGGCTGTGCAAATCCACTTATTGTGCTTAGTTAATAGTTCAGTGTGTTAGAGAAATCTCAGAACTGGTTACTTCCTTAGACTATTGATTAGGTTATCATGTGTTACTGTGCGATACAATACAAGTTCTCTTTGACCTAAAAGAAAGATCATCAAACTGGACTTTCAAAAACTATTTACTATTTATTGCTTACTGTTTAAAAAGAATTACAATTCCATCTCCTCCTTAATTTAGCCACCAACTTTTCTTCAACTAAGCTGAGCCCATACTTCAGCCAATGGATCAGGTCAGTCATGCAGCAGTAATCCTGCCTTTCATAGTTGAATTAAAATTGACTTTTCAATACAGTAGACTGTGAATGAAGAGGCAGTCAAGCTATTTCCAAAGCGCCTGAAGGCAGGACAAGAAGCAACAGATGGAAACTAATCAAGGAGAAAAGCAACCTAGAACTAAGGAGAAACTTCCTGACAGTTAGAACAATTAACCAATGGAACAACCTGCCTCCAGAAGCGGTGAATGTTCCAACACTGGAAGTTTTTAAGAAGAAAGTGGACAGCCATTTGTCCAAAATGGTATAGGGTTTCCTGCCTGAACAGGGGGTTGGACTAGATGACCTCCAAGGTCCCTTCCAACTTTATCATTATTATTATGGATCATCGCACAGTCAGCCAGATGTTCAGACTGGATTTGGCATTTTGTCTACGCATCAAATCCTTACCCAGGACCTGGGATAGGCAGATGTGGATGCTTGATGGTATTACAGGTATCGTCGCAGGATGGAAGCAGTTCCTAGTAAAGCCACCTTTTGCAATTGACTAATAGCAAATTTGTCAATGCCAATGGTGTTCAAGTGGTGCTCCAGTTGTTTTGGGATTGCACCCAAGGAGCCTATGACTATTGGTACTACCCTTGCTTGCTTTTGCCACAGTCTTTCTATTTCTATTTGTAGGTCTTTGTATTTTGTTATCTTCTCCAGTTCTTTCTCGTCTATTCTGTGTCTCCAGGCACTGCCACGTCCACTATCCAGACTTTTTTGTCTTTCTTATCGACAATTGTTAAGTCTGGGTGTTATGTTGCAGGTGCTTGTCTGTTTGAATTCTGAAGTCCCAGAGCAGTTTAATTTTATCATTTTCTATGACTTTCTCTATTTTATGATCCACCAGTTTTTGCTTACAGGCAAATGATATTTTTTGCAGATCTTCCAATGCACCATTGTTGCTACTTTGTCATGCCGCTGCTTGTAGTCAGTCTGTGCAATCTTCTTGCAACAGCTTATCAGGTGGTCCACTGTTTCTTCAGCTTCTTCGCATCATCATCATCATCATCATCCTCATTATTATTACTATTATTGAATAATATGCCACTATGGATTAGAACAATTTCATGAAGGAAAAGATCTCAGCTATCTGTCATAGAATTGCCCCAGGAAAAAGCCTAATGTCATTGTGAAACTTTAAATTTTTGCCATTTACATCTGACAACTTTAATTTACAATTTATTTCCAATTTTCAAAAGTCAACTAGTTCAGACCATGGGCCATCATAACAGCACTTCATTAAAAGAAAGCTCCTGGTGTTATTTTTGCAGCACAACTATATGCCACCCTGTAAGTAGCCAGATAATGGTTTAGTAGTGTACAAATCCATCAGAGGTCGTCTTACTAAAAGTCTCATCTGGATGTCACATGAGACTGTTAAGCACAGGAAACTTACAGATGTTTTTGCATAATTTTGCTTTACCTGATACCATAGGCTCTACAAATAAAGAGATTATGTTCACCTTAATAGTTTAATAGCATTTGCAAAAATGGTTCCTATCAAGCTGATAAAAATCCAGCACTAAAGTTAATGCATGATTATATGGATGGATGATCCAAGACATCTGCTCCCTAAAATGTTCTCAGTTCAGAAAATTGCAGCATGAAGAAATGGAATCAAATGAGAAAATTCTTGCCCTGAGAACATTGTGCTAATGACCAACCTAAATATAATGATTAGACAAGAACATCGTGGGTACCCTTTATTACATTTATACAAAAGTGACATATGTATTTTTTGTCATCGCTAGGTTTTAGGGTTTAGTGACAAATTTCCAGAAATTGTTGTCAGGAACTGTGACTGGCATTTTCAGAGCAAAGTGGTATGCTATACTGCCTCTGAAGATGCCAGCCAAGTTGCTGGTAACATGTTGGGAAATCTGTTCTCAAGACCATGGTCACTAAATCCTAAAGCCCAACACCCCAAACACTATTAGCTGTAAAAGCTGATTGTATGGAAATGTATTTTTGCTTGAGGGTTACTCACCTTTTTACCAGAAGCCTGAAAGATTTTTATCAAAGAGCCAGAATTCCTATCTGTGCGGAATATGTACACCTACGAAGTTAAAAAAACAACAAAGTAATTGTTTTATCTCCAATATAATTAGATCAACCGACACAATTCATGCATATCAATGTGCCTATCATGCAACACTCTTTTGAGATAAGCAGTGTTATATAAAGTGCAAAAAAGGCATAAAATATAGAAAGTCAAAAGAATTAAAGCATGAGATTAAGAGAAAGAGGGAGAGAGAGAGAAGCAATAAAGCAAGTTTATAGCAAAACATTCATATGGCACTCCATACTATTTTATCTTTATAAACCATTGTTCTTTTCACCATGCCCACATCACTGCTTCATTGCTTCATACATTGTCTTTTGTTCTTAAGTGGCTTTTTCTTTGATGAATCAATCACAACTGTCTCAGGCATCCTCTTTTCCATTCTTTTTTTTCATATAATTTTTGGGAATTCAATCTTTTATCTCAATGAACTTTTTTACTCATTTTACTATTCAATCCACATTCATTCAGCCTTCATTCATTTTTTACCCTATATTATCCTGTTTAAATACATCATTCTGAATATATTTAACTTGATTTTATGTTTTTCCTGATATATTTAACTTTCATACATGAAAACGATAACACCATTTTATTTGGAGCCATTTTTGTCCATATCACTATTCATTTTTTGCTGTAGTCCATCCACAAACTACTACATACTATCATTTCACCAGATTTAAATTCCTAAAATTCCTCCTTCCAGTTTCTCATTTCCAACATAAATTCTTCTACTTCCACTACTTTAATATTGATGTACAATTTTCATTCATTTGCTCAGTTTTTCCTAAAAACCACAAGTGCTTTACTTTTCATATCATTTTCCTCTCTGCGTTATACAGTCTAATATTTGCTGCATATCATTCAGGATTATGGTTAAAACAAGACATCATGACCCAATCTGATAGAGCTCTAATGTCATCACAATCATGCCTTACACGTTTATCCATAAATATTTTGATCAGTCAAAGAAGATGTCATGTTTGCTGCACTACCTGTTCAATATAGAACAGATAACTTCTTGGCTGCCCTACATACAAAGAAAGGATTCTTTTAAAGTTTCCTTATCAAAATTTATTCAAAGAGGATAGGATAAAATTACTGAAATCTCAATCAGATTATTTTCCCATTTATAATTCAATTTATCTCCCAGCTTTCTAAGGTAGAGATGTCCTACACTGGACGTTTTTTATTCATGGTTCCTGTGAGAAATGAAAATGATATTATCCTAAGGATAATAGAGGAATGTCCAGCTGGTTAGAATCTGAAGTTCTCTACAGTGCTAAACATGCCTTAATAGCTGAATCATTCACTAAGTGTTATATTTATTTTCATAGCTGTCTTTTCCATCATATATTGCTCTTATTAAGCAATCTATTTTAATTCTGTGTTTGAGTAAAACATTTCATACTACCAAAATATTTTTATCACTACTTTATTTCTCAGAGAAAAGGGATATATATCTATTTTTATAGATGTAGATGTAATGTATTTATTTATAAACATATATAATTATATATTTATATGTTTACAGTATATATTTTTAATAATTTATTTATAAATTATAAATTTATTTATAAATTTATATACATATATCAGAGAAAGAAATGGAAATTTATCAAGGAGAAATCCAACCTAGAACTAAGTAGAAATTTTCTGTTAGTGAGAAAAATTAATTAATGGAACGGCTTCCTTCCAAAAGTTGTAAGTACTCCATCACTGGAGGTTTTTAAGAACAGACTGGGCAGCCATTCATTCAGAATCGCATAAGCAGGGGGTTGTACTAGAACACCTCCAAGGTCACTTCCAATTGTTATTCCATAATCTGTAGAGAAGAAAAATTGGTTTGCATGGATCACTCCTGCCACACAGTTTTAATCCCTGTCCTGCACCCTTTAATTAGAATTTTGCTAAACTCATTCCCAGGTACATTGAACAAACTATGTCATGTGGTTTTACATTTACTTTTATTAGTTTCCCTTTTCCCTAAGGCAGTGATGGCGAACCTTTTAGAGACTGAGTGCCCAAACTGCAACCCAAAACCCATTTATTTATTGCAAAGTGCCAGGGCCGCATCAGCATTGTGGTGCTCTTAGGCAGAGCGGGGGAGCGTGGCCCACTGGGTGGACATGGCCTCTGGGTGGGCATAGCTGTGGTGATCACAGCTGTGGTGGTCACAGCAGACTGGGTGGGTGGGCTGGGCCCAGGCTGGCAGAGGCCAGTCCCTCGCCATCTCTGGGCCATCCCCAGGAGGCTAATGCCGCTTACTTGCTCACTTCCTGCCCCATTGCTTCCAAACACCACATGCTTGCTACTCTGGCGAACTATGCTGGGGCGACGGCATGTGTGCCCACAGAGAGGGTTCTAAGTGCCGCCTCTGGCACACATGCCAAAGGTTCGCCATCACTGCCCTAAGGGAAAATTGATGGCATTCTTCCAACCATCACTATAAATGAACTCATCATGCACACATTAAACAAGTTACTCAGCCTCTTCATAAGCAATTATTATAGCAATCCAAGTTATTAATTCTGATTCAAGATCATAAGCAGTCTGGTAGCATATTTTCCAATTAACAAATTTTGTTAAAACCATAAGTTTTTATGAATTGCAGCTCACTTTCTCAGATGCATTCAGATAACAAAGTAAGCACAAAATATCACAAAAATTTATGTCTTTTCATAAAATTCGTTAGTCATGAAAGATGCTACCAGGTGCTATAAACAAATTATATCCATATAGTCTGCTGTTTCAGTTGCACTTACATTTCTCAAAATATATGATTTCTCTTTCATTTATTTTTATTGGATACTAATACAATATATATTTCAATTCCATTCTTTAACATATCACTATTATTTTTATACTCCTTTCTATAAAAATTTCCTCATCTTAAATCAAAGAACACAGAACAACAGAGTTGAAGGGACTTTAAAGGTCTTCTAGCCAACCCCTGGCCCAAGCAAGAGACCCTATATCATTTCAGACAAATGTCCGGTCTCTTCTGTGATTGAGTATCCACAACTTTTGAAAACAACCCATTCCACTCGTTGATCTATTGTTCTCACTACCCAGAAATTTCTCCTTAGTTCTAGGTTGTATCTCTCCTTGATTAGTCTCCATCCATTGCTTCTTGGTTATTGTTTTTTTTTTAAATCATTTCAGCACTTTTTGTTTTTAATTTTGTCTCGTTTAGTCCTTTTCATCCACTGCCATTTTTTAAAATGTCCATCACACTTGCTTTGCATATTTCCTCCTCTTTTAAGTGTTCCTTCCTTTCATTGAGTATTCACTATAATTCTATTTTTCACTCTATATACTTTATAAAATACCTTTCATTTTTACAGCAATCTTTCTCTTATATAATTCCTCAACCTCTTTTTAGTTTTCTGTACTATCATTCTTTCCAATCTGTTCCCAACAGTTTCTACAGCCTCTTTCACTTTCCACTCAGTCTCTTAGTAAATCTATTTATTTTCTAATCATTTTTCCCACACTCATTATGAACTATTTTCCCCTTGCAGCCATTTTACTGCCATTCTTTTTGTTTTTCATTTCTTCCACAATCATTTCTCCTCAAATTTATCCTTGAAACTACCAAATAAATAAGTTACAATTTCACATTATTTGTCTCCTTCACAAATTTGCTTAATCTTTCATCACAAACAAGCCAATTAATCAGTTTTTCATTCATGCATATATACTTGGAAAAGTATATATGCGTGAATAGTATCATGCTCACATTTTTTTCAATAAACATTTTTTAACAGAATGCACACTATATATTATTAATTCTTGAGACTCTTTAGTAGACCACTTACTAAAGTATGCTCTGCTCTTTTCCTTATGCATCTATCCATGAAACCAACAGATTCCCCCCCCCCCTAGATCTGAGGCATTTAGAATGTTACACAATTTTCTCTCAAACTCTGGCTCTTTTTTTATAACCATTCACTCAAGAACAATATGCAGCCATTGCTATGTGAAGGATTCTTATTTCATATATATCCACAACCTAGAAGACATCAAATTATAGTTTGTCAAACATTTTAGCACTTTTATTCATAAACATATTTTATTTCTATACATATATTCTTTAATTCCAAAAGTTTGACCACTTTCTTTCAGATTTATTAGATCATTGTCATTTTTAGTTTCATAGTTATATGCTGTCTACTTTTCCTTAACTCATTTCATTCAGTAATTTATATTTTTTATGATTTATTCCTCTTACATACCAAGTCATAATCTTCCAAATTAGGACTAGCAGAGAAGCCTACATATATTAATCTCTAACACCCATCATGACACTGGTTAATTAAAACTTTCACAAAATGTATTTTAGTAAGATGGAGAAGGTTTAGATTAAGTTACTAGGTTTAGTCATTTCCATGCGCCATGCAGCATTCCCTGTTAACAGTAAACATAGTCAAGTTTTATCACAAGCACAACCACATTATATTATGCAAGTTGGAATTCTAATTAAGAGACTATCTTCCATGCCAGGATACTCTTTTTCACATCCCACCCACAAGGAGATATCTGCACTGATACTCACAGGGATACTAATTACAAAAGTGAGGTGTATTTAAAGACTAAGAATATACTAAACACATTGCACAACTAAGTTTATACATAAGGAGATTATCTTTCTGGTGTAATGTTGGTAATAATTATTTGTCATATATAAAATATTATCTCCAGAAAGCTTTAGCCCCTGAAATATCCTGCTGGTTTATAGATCTAATTATTAAAAGCACAAAGTAAAAATTACAATTTAAAAAACTGTTATTCACATTTCATAGTAGTCAAATTAGGTGGATTTAGGTAGCAATCATATTTCAGGATACTAACAGCAATCTATTTTACAGGGTTGCTGGGTAGACTGTGTTCAAGAAGTAATGATCTTATGCAAGGCATATATGAGAGATGTCCACTCAGCAGCAGTTGGGCTATTTGCCCATTAAAGTAAGCCAGAACTTCATATACTGATCAGCACTTGTTCTTGACCTAGAAGATATGCTACTAGATCCTCACAACTACCTTGCTTAATGTAGTAGAGTAGCAATTATACAGTTAGGCCTCCATACCTGGCTGATAAACAGCATTCCTATCCTGGGTCATATATTGCAGTGCACTATATTAAAGATCAAATTTCTTCCTAGACTAGGGGGAACATGTGGCTGACAAAGCCATAACATAGTTTGTTTTTGGCTCTGGATGATGTAGAAATGGAGATCCATGATTATGCCACAGTACAGCAGTAAAATCCATTAGAAAGCAAGGTTTGTGGTTAGCTTCCTGATTTCAACTGTGTACTTAATGAGATGTAAAAACATGGGCTTGTTTGTGGTTTTCCAGTTTAATTCTATATTATTTTTCTTCCCTGTCTATCTAATTCATGAAAGCATTAAGCAACGGCAGTCAGAAAAAACCCAAGATCTGACCAAAGGAAACACTTTGCTTTTATGCTTTGCTTATCTGCAAAAGTGATTCTGATTCATTTCAGGCTTGTTAAAAATGATTAAAATAAATTAGAAGTTAAATGCAGTCTTTGCACAGATATATGGAGTGCATATATAGTAGCAATTTTTTACACTTTGACTCACTCTAAAGGATGGAAATCGATGGCTTATTAGGACATTCTTATCAGAAATGTGGAAGTTCCTGATTAAAAAATAAATTCTGCTATGAAAAACCATTATTAATTTGAAAAGCAATATTGAATTAGGTAGTACAAAGATTCTCTAAACCTTTGGTCTCTTTTACCGCAAACCAAATGGTCTTCAAATATGATTATATACATGGTAGCAACAGCTTATATTTAAAATGAATTATGTGATTTTTAAAAAGGGAGATTTCGCTGCTGCTGCTGCTAGAAAATGGGTGAGGAGATTCTCAGAACAATGAGAATTGGACCACGGGAGAAGGAAAGACTTGGACAAACTAGATACTATTAATTATCTTCCTTCTGTTACTGGCAGTAAATTCTTTTTAAGAGTGTTCTTCAAACTGCTGCAGCCCCACACTTCTTGTTCATTTTCTCCTGGATGAACTATGAGCTGAAGTTTGATCAACACCAAACCTTTCCAACGCCTCCATCTTGGGGAGCTCCTCCAACGACGTCCGTGGTCATCAGCTGAGAGAAGTGACCTGCTGCCACCGCATATCCTGAGCGGGGCATTTTTAGGGTGGACAAGCAGAGAAAAAAAAATGACCGAAAATACCAGCAAAAAAAAAAAAAAAAGGAAATGGGTCCTAGGTTTAGGTCATCTATTTGGATAAAGCATTTTTTCCCCTTCTCTCAGAATGGAAGTTAGACTCAAGCAAAACACCTTCAAATTCTATAGAAGCCTTACTTTTTTGGATAAGGAACTCACTGTTCAAGGTTTGAAGTGACAAGCAAGTTTTACCTAACAATAAGATAGTGAAGATATAAGCAGGAGACATGGAAAAACAATAATTTAAGTCAGAAAAGATACCAGAACAGATAATAGTTATTATTAAAAAAAAATTAAAAGCAAGGACAAAAAAGGGAAGAAGAGTACTAAAACTGAAAAGCAGACACAAGGTGTAAAATAGATAGTTTCTACCACATTATTAATTTGTTGAATCAACAGAGTATTGTAAATAGCAAATGTTAGAAAAACAAGCAACATGTGGAATAAATGGATAATTAAAAGTTTTTCTCTACTTTCCAAAATACTATAACCTGTACTCCTCAAATGAAAATGGATTATGAGATTAAGTTAAAAAGAAATTATTCACATAAATCCAAGTGGCATAACTCACCACTAAATATGGTAAGTTAGAAATTTGGTTGACTTTACTGAGTCATTAAACAAGTTCATAGTGGTTAATACTATGACCTGATTCACAAAACAAAATTTACATGAGAATCCATGTAGCTACAGATTAAATTGTAACAGAGGTACATGATTTTAATCACATTGTACCTTCTATATAAGCAATGATCCCTCTAATTTCTAATGCTGTTTGTGGAAAGAAACTATTTTTTGTTCAACTTTCCGAAATCAAGTAGAAATTTGTGCACCACAATATCAGTAAATTGCAACCACATGTAATAGTGATACGTTAAATGGTTTACATATTTCTCAGTGAAAATATAGAAAATATAAAATATAATAGTATATGGAAAAGGGGAAGGAATCCAACAAGTCAGTTTGGATTATAAACAAAATAAAACAAAATATACCTGAAAAAGGCAAAAGATTTATTTCAAAGGTCAATAAAATGATTTTATTTGCCACTCTAAAATGATACATTATGAGAGATGAACACTCTTTAATGTTCAACTCCTTTTCCTGGTAAAACCATTACGTCATACTTGAAAGGCCCCTTGCTCTTTTCACATTGTGAATTACAGGCATTTTACCTGTATTATAAATGTTAACTTTCAATTTTTTCCAAAGAGAAAACACCTATATTTTTTTCTAATTAAAGAAACAAGCAAGCAATAGTCAACTGAAGAAAAGAGGTCCACCATCCTTTCTTAAAAGTACAGATGAGGACTTAACACACAAATAGTTAAGGAAAGCAGAGGTTTGCTAGAACGAGCACAACTGAGAACTGGACATAAGCCATTAGAAAAATTAACATTTTTCCTGTGAAACTGACTGCATTTTTAAATAGACATTTCTAAGGCTTACTAACGAATAATATCTACATTTCCCTAGCACCCTGCATATTTTCATGAAACAATAAATTACTGAAAAATGACTTCTTTAGGTCAGGATCATTTATTCATTTTCCAAGCATGTTATAATGATTTTAAGAAAGGCCACAGGTTAAGACCAAGACCACATATATATTACAAACTAAATGACTTACCATCAATCTTAGCTTCCCTTTGGGATTTGCAGTTGTCTAAGGGTGCTAAGATTTTCCTGACAGAGACTGTTAAAGCAACTACAAATCCTTGAATCCAGGAAAAGTTACTAGATTTTTTTTTAATGTGCACATGCAATATTATAGTCAAGGCTGGGAGTGGAAGAATTCCTGAATCCAAACTTTCCAGAGTTGCAATTCCTGGAGTTTTCACCTCTGAGAATTCCAGAGTTCATAGATTACTTATGCATGTGAGTATCAATTTACCATCAATATTCAAGACCAATAACTGTTTTGCTTTGCTTACCTAGATATATGTAACGCTTGGCTATCACAGATTCATCTTTCAGTTTGAAATATGTATTATCAGTGAGATTCAAGACTTTGATCGTTCCTGTCCAATAGTAAGACCCTGGAGCTCCCATGATAACCAACTCCTATCAAAAGAAAAGTATTGTCTGTTAAATCTCTACAGTCAATGGAAATTAATATTTGAAATTCTGTATGCGAAACTAAATCCAAAAATGGAAAATATACTGAACTCATAGGATTGAAAGCTCTGAAAATGTAGAAAAGAGTGAAAAGAGAATAATCTACTTCTCTCCTATTCTACTCCATCCTAACAAACATCCTTATCCTACAGGTATTTCGGAAGGCATTTAAGACCTGGCTCTTCCCTCAGGACTTTGGGCCAGTATGAGCAGAATCTGCATAAGATATTGTGTACTATGATCATTTTCACTCTTTATCATCTACTTGGTTTTAATTATATGTGCTACTTTTGTATCTGTTGGTTTTGACATTTTCTTTCTTTCTTCAAGGATTACAGGAAATCGATTTTACCTTTGTCCAGTATCGTAACAGAATTGGGAAATTCTGCCAATGATTCCCTTTGCTGCATGCTGCTACAGTCTCCATGTCAGGTACTAGATTATTCCCCCCCATCACTACCTTCCACCTCTTATCAGTTCTAAAACTAAAGCAACACAGGAACTACCATAATGGGCAGAAGTTTCTTTAGGATCAGGAAAATCTGCTTGTCTGCTCAGGATAGGTTATCTCTTGACATGAACTGCCCAAATCCCGATCCAGATGTGAACAAAAGAAGGATGGAACCATCAATCCCTAAGCCAATCACCAGTTTGAACCACAGGGGAAGTGGACAGTTGTTCATCTTCAAAATTAATGCACTGATTCCAAAAAGTCTTATACACAAACCAGAATTAAACAATTTTTTAAAAACTAAAATGCAATTTCTTGCCTTTAAATTTGTCAGTGAAAACTCACTTTGTATTAGACCAGTCAATTTTCCTTCCACAATTACTCTCAATTCATGTTGACTTATTTATATTAAATTTACATGCCACCCATTTCACTATTGAACGATTCTGGACATGTTAATTCTCTGTATATAATTAAAGGGATTTATGAAGTCAGTGCTCAAAGTTTTGGAAGGAATACTGTTTTATTTATGCAGAGTATATCATAAATACTAAGGCCTAGTAGTGAGAAAAAAGAACTTTTTAAGCCATGCAGAGTGGCCGGGCGAGGCGAACTGGAGACATGACGAACATGCCTGTGTGCGCACAGAGGCTGAGGTGCATGCATTCACCTCTGGCTCTGTGCCTGCATAGGCAGGTTCAGCATGTCGCAGGTTCGCTTCACCCAGCCGCTTCATACGGTGAGGAGAATGCACCATTGCTCTTGTCCAGCAATTTACAGTGGCCTTTCAAGCCATGGCCACCGGCAGCACGGCTGCCAGCCATGCTGGAGGCCTGCCCCCCTCCCCTTGTCCCTTCCTGGGCACAGAGCAAGGGAGGGAGGGAGGAAGGGAGGGAGGGAGGGAGGGAGGGAGGGAGGGAGGAAGGAAGGAAGGAAGGAAGGAAAGAAGGAAGGAACAAAGAGAGAGGGAAGGAAGGAATGAAGGAAGGGACAATGGGAGGGAGAGAGGGAGGGAAGGAAGGCACCCACCCCCCTCCACCAGAGAGCCACAGATTCCTCCCACATCCCCGCCCGCACCCCCCCACAGGCACCCCACAACCTGAGTGATGAGCTGGCCACACACACACCCAGTCATTGACTTCGCTTGTCAAAAAGTTGCAAAAGGTGATCACATGACCCTGGGACACTGTGATCGTCATAAGTATGAATCAGTTACCAAGCATCCTAATATAAATCACATGATCCTGGGGATTCTGCAACAGTCATAAGTATGAAAAATAGTCATAAGTCAATTTTTCCAGTTCTGTTGTAGCTTCGAAAAGTCACTAAGCGAATTGTTGTGAGTTGAGGACTACCTGTACTTTATAATTTTTTCCTTTTTTTTTGGTCATCAAGTTTTTGACATTTTGCTAGGCAACTGGTGGTACTCAGATATTGCCTTATCCTAAAAGTGGTACAATGGGTGAAAAGATTGAAAAGCCCTGCTCTAAGCTGTCTCTATCTCCTCTGGCAGACCAAGGGAGTAGCTGCAGGCCAGTGGGCATGCTGTTTTAATATATGTAAACACAGAAGCAGTTAAATGTGCAATATTTTGGTGAGTGGCTACCAGGTACAACTTTTCTCTGAGAAGAAAACAGAATAAGCAGAACTAAGTGCTCCTATATTAGACACTTGCCTGTTTGACCCGGAGACCATTTATCTACATCTCCTGCTTATTGTTAACTGGCTAATGCTTGAGGCTGTGCACTGAAAGTTCAAAGCCACCTTCTGAATGAGAAACAGGGGGGAGAGGGAGGGGGGAGTTCAGAGCCTGGGAAAAGAACCAAGCGTGATACTGCTGACAAGCCAGGAAACAGCTGCTGCTGACATTGCACTGATGATCAAACACTTCATCACAAAGATTGCCACCCATTTCAGATTAACCCAGAAAGATCCCACCAGATTGTTTTTGAACACTATGGCATAAGTTTTGTTTACCAGATCCAGAGTAATTAAATCCATCAGGCCAAATTCAAAGTTGCCTTGAAAATTAATATAGTTATGTCAAGAGTTAGACATTACTCGGAACTAATTAAAGATTGTATGATTAGATGGGCGCAGAATTTTGGTGAGCCAGTTCCATTGGACACCTGGGAAACTATTTGGGTGAGAAATGTCAAATTTACACAAGCACAGAACTTAAGGGAGAATTTTTATAAAATGTTTTATAGATGGCACCTTGATCCACAAAAAATGTCTTTTATGTACCCTGACTTACAACCTAAATGTTGGAGATGTGGTTGTATGGACGCTACTTATTATCATATTTGGTGGTCGTGCAGAGAGATAAAAGCATTCTGGATTAAGATATGGTGGAATATCCAGAGAATTTTTAAAAGGAGGGTAAAATTTACTCCACAATTATTTTTGTTAGGTATAGTTATTGATTGTGATACAAAGGAGGTTATATTGATGTTAAATTTGATTACAGCTGCGAGGCTGTTAGTAGGACAATATTGGAAGAAGGAATCTTTGCCTACATTGCAGGAATGGTTTCTTAAAGTGTCTCATTTGGCGGAAATGGCAAAGATTTCGGCTTTCTTAAAGGGTCAAACGCAAGAGAAATTTCTTGCTGTTTGGGATAAATGGATAAAATTCATACAATTTAAATTTGATATAAAAAAATACTATATAGTTTTTTCATAATTTTTAACTTTATATATATATATATTTTCTATTTTATATTCTTTTTTTATAAATATAAATTTTTTTAATTTTTTTTAATTAAGCCTATATTCTGCTCTGGGAGGCCCTGGGGGGGGAAGGGGGGGTTGGGTAGGGGTGGGGGAAGGGGGGTTTTGTTGGGTAATGTTTGTTTTTATTTGTATATGTTGTTTTTTGTTTTTGTATTGTCTTTTATTTTCTGTAAAATTTATAAAACTCTTTAATAAAAAAAAAGAGTTAGACATTACTAAAGCCATTTGACTGTCATTAAAAAAAAAAATCAATGGCCCAGTATCTCAATTGTAATTCAAAAGACTTGTCCATCAATCCAACATATATTTTCTGACTGAGAAGAGCTGTTTACATTTTTCATACTGAGGTTTTTATTTTTTAAAAAAATGATTGAATTTAGGTTGTTCTACATGTAAAATGCGCAGAGTTTCACAGAAATATAGTACTAACTAAATACAGAAATGGGGAAAAAAAATCCCCACTCTCCACAATGGTCCAAGTTATTTTATTATCAGACTTTGATGGCATGATTTTCAGGAGGGGAGATGGAAGGGTAGGAATGGGAGCAATTTACTTCCTAGAAGTTTCTTAACCCTATTGCCATGCTCAACCCGTTACACCCAAAAGAGAAAAAGGACCCCAAAAACTCCATATCCCTTTCATTGATTAAACCATACTTCTAGTGAATTCATCTACAGCCCTCCAGGCCAAAGGAAACTTAATCATCATTGTTTAAATATAAAAGTGCCAGATACAATTCTTATACATTTAGGAAGTATCCTTTTCTCATCCCTGAAATGCCACTATCACTCAGAATAAACAGTTCTGAGCTATAGGCACAATCCCTGTACACAGTGGAAGGTACACAAAAGGAATATATTGGGGGGGGGGGGAGGAAGTGTGAATTAATGGAAGAAATGGAGGAATAAAAACAGATATATCATGTGAATGCACAATTAAGATAAATCTAAATGAAGGTGGCCTGACCCTACAGAGAGGGAGTATATGAATATATATTTTATAAATGATGTATCAATGGTATTCAACTCCAGATGAATTGTACAAGATGTATAAGAGAATCTCAACAAATATTGGACATGAAATCAATCTGAAGATTCTTTTATCATATTGGGTGGACCTGTAGGAAAGCTAAAATGTTTTAGAATCAGATATTTATGATGGTTGAGAATATTGTGAATAATGGACCTTTTAAGAATAGCAAAAAAGCAATTGGAAAGATGGGACTTTATATGATACCAGCAGCAATGTTGCTATATTCCCATAGTTGGAAAGAATCCACCTTCAAAGAATGGAGTTTGAAAGTAGCTAGCTATGATGGCAAAATAATTTGACTTCTTTTCATTTTTTTCATGAATGGCTTATTTTCATTTTTTGAGACCACTGTAAGATTTCTTACAAGACAAATCAACTTTTGACTTTGTGATTTGAGATTAGATTGAATTTGATTATAGAAATATTGTAATTTATTTTAATATGTTTATTTATATTTGACAATTATTTATTTATTTTATTATGTGTGAGATTAGAATTAAGAAAAGAATATGTTGGGTTTAATAGGAACTGTTTGGAATAGAAAAATTAGCTTTGGTAAAATGTTCATCTTAACCATCACTATTCTTCCTAGAAGTGATAATTGAAGATTTTCCCATCTTTCCAAGTCTATTTTTATTTGTTTCATTAATCTCTCATAATTATCTTCTTTTAATGTGGTATATTTTGCAGTTAAATAAATGCCCAAGTATTTGACTTTTTTGACTATTTGAAAGTTTGTCATTTTAGCAAGTTGAATTTTCTGTTTATCTGTTAAGTTTTTTGTTAATACTTTCGTCTTTTCCCTATTTATTTGCAGATCAGCCACTTCTCTATGTTGGGAATAATTTTTTTTTAGAATGTTGATTTTAAACAGTAGTATTATTTAAATATAGAGAGAGGTTGTTGTATTGATATTATCTTTGAAATAAAAGAAAGTCAGAAGTTATTTTTGTTATAAATTTGATTTTTTGTCCCTTTTACTTTGTTTTGTTATTCCCTATTCCTTTAACATAAAATTTGTATTTTAATATTTGATTCTGAAATTTAATAAAGATATTATAAAAATTATGAGTGATAGAATTAAAATATGTATCAGAACATAATATTTGGAATCATATAGGTTGCTATAGCTTTTTATTAAGTGTGAATCCATAGGCTGGCAATAGTATTTTTTTAGCTTGCTAGAGAATGGTGTTAATGCAAAAAACACATATGTTTTGCTTTAAAAAAATTGTGCAACATTCTAAATTAATGAAATATGGAGAAATAATTAAACTGTTGTATGACAGGATTGGATTGGTAGGAATGAGATAAGAATACAGAAAAAGCTATTGGATCATTTGGAGACTCAACAATGAATGGAGATTGCTGAATATTTGTCTAGAGAAAGATCTGTTTCAGGTACATGGTTTAACATAAGTATTCTTTTCATACATCTACATGAGAAAGGAATTAACATAAATCTAAAAACATGACTGAAATGAGATTTTATAATGCAAGGTTGAGAAAGTTAGTGAAGAACCAAGGATTATTTTAGATTCTGAATGGGGACAGGCCATTTTTTGACACATCAAGATGGATATTGGGAGAAAGATGAGCATTATAGAAATGAAAATAAATAAAAAAAAAACAAGACTGAAAGCAGAATGACAGCAGCAAGAACAAGTCCTAAGAAAAGGAGAGAGATTAATCGAGGAAAGAGGATGAAGAAAGCAGATGTAGAAGCTACTTGGAAGAGTATGGAGTTCTTTCTTCTCTGTACATTGCATTGTCTACCCTGAAAGGGAACAATGTGATGGTACGTATGCAATATAATAATGTGTGTATATAATTAATCAAGTAAATCAAAGTTTAAAAGGCAAACAAACTTTTTATTTCATACTGAAGCCTTCTCACAATTCACACTCACCTCTGTAAAGAAACCTGCTATTCCAGCCTGACATGAACCATGTTCTTCACCATATTTTTTCTTATATTCTAAGGTAGAAAAAAGAAATGAGATGAAAAGATATAAATGCAGTCATGTCAGTCCCCACCAGAAATGTGTGATTCCCAACTCAATAGCCTCTTCCCCTTCTCTTCAAATCCATATGTGCTATCATAAACTAAGACAGTGAGGTTCACCGCAGAGCAAATTCTGGGACATTAGCAGACTTCAAGCTTCTTTGGCAGTTGTCAAACCAAATAACTTTATTCACAGAGGAAAACATGTTAGGATTTTTTATGATAGGAGGAAGTAAAAAAGCACTAAAAATGCAGAAATACATGGGAAGCTTGATTATTTGTTTACTGAAAATTACAAAGCTAATTGGAGGCTGGCAAAAATACTCCTCAATGAGTTCTTAATGAGAAGGCTAAAATAACCACAACTTTATTGTCTAAAGTTAAAACTCTACCACTCCCACTTCCCTCAGTTCCTACTTATCCTCTCTACTGTAATATTTTAGACTGTATGCTTTTAGGCATAAAAAATCCACTTGTGGACTTATCTTAGACCCTACAATGTCATGAATATTGACTGTGCTGTGAATGACCAAACTTATTGCTATCATTATTACATCTTATAATATTAATACTTCTATAACCGTTATATTAAACAACAGTCCATTGAACAAAGAAAGATACAAGCAAGTCCTGGGATTTATCAGGCCTGGGGAGAAGAGAAACTTCAACCAACTCTTCCAGTGTACAACAGTTTCACCAAGGAACATCACTCAGGGTAACTATAATATGCCCCGTATATGGAACTAGACTCAAATGCAATAGGCTTATGATTGGATTTACCAATTGTCCAAAGCAATCCATGTTTGCTTATTTTGGCCCAATGAGATCTATGAAATTATACTGGCTGGATAACTATGGTTAACATAAGAGCTGATTACAGCCTTTGGGGTTTACTGAGCAAATCACAGCCAAGAAACCTTGGCTGACCATTTTTTTTTAACTAGGGCTACTTGCCATGTGTACCTTATAACACTATTCAGAAGTGACACTAAGCTAGTTCTCATATCTGTTGCTTCAGCACAATAACAGCTCCCAAAGCTACTTTTTACCAGTAATAGAGAACACAATGCACCAAGATAATCCAGGAATTGTATTTCTTCAAAGGCAGAACGCTGTAAATAATCTTTTCAGTTGTTTCTCCTGTTCTCACAGTATTATAATCACAACAGTTGTTTGAAGAAAATGAAAATATGTCAAACAATATAAAACCAGTTTTACTGTGTATCTTAGATGCACCATAACAATCTCATGCTTTATTGCTTACAGTCTCAACCAGCAATTTAAATTGGTCTGAGCAGCTTCTGGACTTCATTTTCATATCCCCCAAATAATGTGCTTTTTTGGGAGGGGAGGAAAGCTCACTTCCTGCTTCTTGCAATATGCTCCCAAGGATATGAATGAATTCAGAGAAATGTCAGTGCTTTGGTTTCTGAAAATAGCCACCATGTAACCTAGTAACTCTCTGAAACTGCTAACCACCAACCCACTGCTAAATTTCAAGGAATGAACAGGGAATTACTTGGCAAATTATCCTATGGGGAACTCAATCTATTCCTTTAGGCAGGACAGACCATAAGAATAATAAATCTCAATTCAGAAACTCTCTGTTCAAAAGGAAAAAAATAGTAAATGGACTGTCAGTACTTCCTTAAATTGGATAAAATATCTTTTAAAAAAGAAAGACCTATTCATTCTAATAAAATCTACAAACTAAAAACCAGTTTAATGTGTATAAGCCAACTTTCCATTAGCTGGAACGCAATAAACCAAAATATCCCAGAAATTATGTAAATCTGTCAAGGCAGAAAACTGCAAATAATCTTTTCAATTATTTTTCTCACTCTCTCTCACATTATAATCACAACATTTAGTTGGAGAAATGCTCTCAAGATGTGCTGCATCACAAAAATGCAATTAACAGATAGTGATTTATGGTTATATTTATCATAAACATTAAATAATCTTAATGTGATTACCAAACCTAAATGTAAATGTTTTAAAAGGTTTCTGTCTCCTATCACCATATGTAAAGCATACACATTTTAATTACAGTTAAGACCAGCCATACTAAATACGCTACAGAGCTTATTTAGGCATTCAAATGAGAATGCCAGCATGTTGTAATGCATAAGGTATTGAACCAGAAAACCATGTTCTAGCCTAACCACAGTCATAATTCACTTGCTCCCATGCCAACCTATCATGTAAGGTTGTTTGCAGGAAGAGCAAAATAAGAAAAAGGAAACGTTAAACATGCCACTGATATGCATGCAATCAAGATATAAATAAATTGTATCTACACCCACACACCTTCCTGTCCTCTTAAATAGCTATTTAAAAAACTGTAAAATTAAGATTTGAAATGATTCTGCAACTATTTCCTTCCAACAGAATGAAGGTGTTGAAGATGGGAATAGTGCTAGCTCACCTGATTATTCTCATATTTTTATGCAACATTTAAATGAATTCTGATGCTATTTTAGAAAGTGCAATCATTTAAAAAAAAAGACTGTAGCTGGTCTTGTACATTGCATTAAGCCAAAACTTGGTTTGTTGAATGAACCACAATTAATAGCTTACATAACATACAAAGCCATTAGTTATGATTTAAAAATTACAATGTCTACATTTATGCATCTCCTCCAGGTATGATATGTATCTGAGTTTAAAAGATAGGAATGTTTCCCACTGAAAGCCCAATTTTTAATCAGGGTTAAGAATGATCTATCAGTTTACATTCTTCTTTCCCTATATTTTGCCATGTTTGGATGCAAATTGAATCAAATCTCTTATATTGGGATTATCTATGATACAGATGTATGACTACATCTATATCAATGCTTGGTCATTCTAATTTAATCCTTTCTAGGGTTAACATTATCTAACACTGTGACATGGTTAACTCTGATGGAGAAAACAAAAAAATTTCCCTGAGAAATTTCTATAGTGAGCTCCCCATTTTGAAATATTATCAGTACAGAAGAAAATATCATAAGGAATGCTGCAATGTTGATTGGGGGGCTTTATGCTAATATATGATTTTGTTTTTGCTGAAAGTAATTCATACAAACTTGCCTTGTTCAGAAAATAATGTTCAACAAAGATTGAATATCAATGCTCATGGTATTTTTCAGTTTCTATCCCCCTCTCAATTTCTACATTTCTTTAACTGCAGTCTCTAGGCCAAGGAACTCAGTTTCTTAAAGTAGATGAAAAAGGATTATCATAGGAAGGAAGGCTCTATTGAATTTAAAACACAACTCCTTCTGAGCAATTTATTACATCCATGTCTCTAGAACAGGGGTAGGCAACCCAAAACACTCAAGGAGCCACTTGGTCCCGTTTCCCACAGAAAACTGGGAAAAATACTGGGAGCTGCAAAACCCTTTTGATATCTAAAATGAAGATAACACTGCATATATCCTTTATATATATATATATATATATATATATATATATATATATATATATATATATATATATATATATTATATATATATATATATATATATATATAATAAGGTATTATCTTCATTTTAGATGTCAAAAGAGTCTCTCTCTCTCTCTCTCTCTCTCTCTCTCTCTCTCTCTCTCTCTCTCTCTCTCTCTCTCCCTCCCTCCCTCCCTCCCTCCCTCCTCTCTCTTTCTGTCCTTGGTCTGCCAATCCTCTTCCCCCACTTTCTTTCTCTCTCTGTCTTTCCTCTCTCTCTCTCTCTCTCCCTTCCTCTTTCTTTATCTCTCTCTCTATCTCTAACTATCTCTCTTTCTCCCCCCCCCCTCCAATCTTCTGCTCACCTGGCAAGCTGGCTTCAAGCTATTCTCCAACAAGCTCAGGGGTAGGCAACCTTGGCTCTTTTATGACTCATGGACTTCAACTCCCAGAATTCCTGAGTCAGCATAGCTGGGCTAGCTAGCTCTCTCTTGCCCTTCCTGCTTCCTGCTTCCTGCTTCCTGCAGAGAGACGCAGCAGAGGAGCCCCACCCCAAAAGCTTTTCAGCTTGTCGGAGAACACCGTGAGTGCACTCTTTTACACACATATACACACACACAAAGAGAGACAGAGACAGAGAGAGACAGAGAGAGAAGCAGAGAAGCACAAGTGCCTCTCTCTGTCTCTGTCTCTCTCTGCAAATGGCAGAGGAGGCTGGGAGCCATAGGGGAAGGCTCAAAGAGCCGCATGCAGCTCCAGAGCCACAAGTTGACGACCTGTGCTCTAGAAGATATAGCTAATAAAGCTGAAAGTTATTGTATTCTCCCAAAGCATACTTGGTCATTCTCTGTGATGGGACAGTTTGGCAACTGAGACACATGCCTAGTCCCCAATTTTCTGTCCAGATTCCAGCACAATAAATTGCATGCTAGCAATGCCAAATCTCTCAATTTTCCACTCACTGCTTTAAAGCTCTTGAGTCAACTCACTACTATTTTATAGATATTTCTAGCTGATACCTTTTCAAATTAAGAGTGAGTTACTGCGTTATTTTTCTCAAAAACAAAACCTGCATACTAAACATGGGCATATCTACACATATTTGTGTTCACCTCTATCTCTGATATTGCATTTGTAATACAAATTTATACCACATAATCCTTAAAGCAGATCCAACTAAAAGAAGGAAATACTAATAAAGAGAGTCTTCCAAGTGGGAGAATATTATAATTTTCTTTACTTTTATTAAAGATGAGCTGAATTCATTGCTCCAAACATGGAACTAAAAGCAGACAATTATATTCAAAAATATTGTCTGCAAATAGTGTGCTAATCATCAAAAATATGAAAGGTTACAAATTCCAGGCATATGGTTTCCTTTCTATTTTTCTAGCTTAACTAACTGGCATGTGTAAAGAAAGAAAAGTTAACTTATAATGTGTAACATCAATTACCAATTGCAAAATCCAATATAGCTCAATTCTTGCCAATTTTTTTTCTGAAACTTTTTATTTCACCACTGTCTCAGATCACATTATGGATTTGGAGAAGAAGTAATCACTGGAAAATCACAGTGCATTAAGGATATAGTCATTCCTAAGCTCTATCCAAAATAAATCCAGTCAGTTTCATTTCCTGTCATAAGGAACAAGAGATTTTTCAAAGGATCTCCAGCTCTGACTACATAGGAAAAGAAGAATTGATCAAGACATTTGTGGAGGAGGGATTTTTCTTGCTGCACTAAATCATGATTTGTTAAAATACTCTACAAAAGGAGTTATATATCACATGATGCCATAATTATGTGAGCACGACTGATATATACATCAATTTAAGCTAAATCCAAGCAAACCACAGTTTGAGTTAATGCAATCCAGTCCACAATGGATACCTTTTTTTTTTCAAACTAGTCAACTAGTCTTGTCTCTTGATACTCAAGAGACTGGGGGGAAATCACTTCATTTCAATGTTCTTCTCTTCAACTTCTAACTCTCCCAAAGAGGAAGGCAATAAAAAGTATTTTTTTTAAAAAAAACCAAATATCCCAGAAAGTATATTCCAGAATTTTTTTCTAATTTGTTAGACTAGACAGACATCTATTTTTCTTAACTGACCTATCAGATATCTTGTATTATGAAGTACATAATGCAGAACCATAAGATGGGCTTCTTATAAATTTCATAAAATAAATAAATAATTGATAAGATAAAGTACAAATGAATTATTCCTTTGTTAATACATAATGAGCAAGGTATGTGACATTAATTAGACAGTAATATTCAAAACGCATAAGAGAAGGTTCCTGATAAAATGTATAGTGTGGCCCAAGGAGATCAAGATGGCAAGGGAAATGAGGAGGAAGAGAAGGAGAAGAGGATGAACAGAACCAAAGCAAGGACTGCTTGGTTTGGCAGTTAGATTGCAGTTCTCTGGTGATAAAGCATAACCTGGTTTTGTATACATAGTTGAATGGGAAGGATTTCAGACACAACTGAAAAAGCCTGCAGCTGTTTAGTATATAGTTCTTCATTCGGTGGGCAGAGGGACTCACTTCACTGCCTGTGGAATTCAAAACAGCAGTGTCCATGCCATATTAAGAAAATCACTGATTCAAGTCAGACAACTGGCCCTATTTAACAGGTGACGCAACACTCTTTACATTTACACAAAATGGATAGAATGGAGGAAAATATACCTTTAAAATCTGAACATGCAAAGCAGACATGTCAAACACAAGGCCCAGGGGCCGGATGCGGCCTACAAAGTGGTTTCATGTGGCCAGTGAAGCCATTCTGGAAACAGTGAGGGAACAGCCCCCGCTGCCTTGGCCGGCCAGGAGCCAATGTACAATTTTGTGGTGGCCATCTATGCTGAAATGCATTCAGTCTTAGCTCCACAAGGTCGTCTAGAAACAGCAAGGAACCAGCCCCTGTTGTGTTGGCCCTGCCCTCTGGGTGCATGCTGGGGAGGTGTCACCCTTTGTGAGGAATGAAGAAATGGACCATGCCTAGGTGCTTGCCTGGTCCCACCCCCTTCTGCCAGAAACCTTCAGATCTGTCCCACTCCTGCCCGGGCCCCCACAGGCATCCTTGATGCGAACGATGTAGAGCTGGCCATGCCACCCAGTAGGCCATACCCACTCCATCCACGCCCACCCAGTAGGCCGCACACACCCTGGCCACATCCATCCAGCTCCCCAAGAGCAACCGCAATGCTGATGCGGCCCTCAGTGAAATTGAGTTTGACACCCTTGATGTAGAGCCTTTTTTTAAACATAATCATTCAAACTCTTGCTCAGGAATTGAACTCAAAAGTCAAATACTGATATTGCCTTCCAAGGCTGTTCCAGCCTTTAACACACTGGAACAGTTGGACAGCAATTACTGTATTGGCTTTCCCCATCCCAGTGCCTCCAGATGTTCTTGGAATTACAATCCCAACATATCTGGAAAGCACAAGTAAACTAAAATTGTCCTCTATTTTTATATTGTAACAGGATAGTAGTATTACAGTTACGTCATAATTTAATTTACAGGATAAAGAGAGCATTCTAAAAGTACTGATTGCCACAACTATAATTAATAGGGGGAATGTAATTATAAAATCCATCACAAGTACTAGCATAGATAATAAAAAATAAATATGCCACCTTACCTTCATAACAAGGCATTAACTTTTTACCATTCAATCCAAGGTTTGGAGGGATGATATTGCAAAAACCATGAGGAAGGATGTACTCAGTTTCATAGTAGACATTTTTCCAACGATGGGCACAGGCCTAAAGAAAGAGAGAAAACACCTTAAAAATTTTGTTAGTGGTTGGAATTTTTTTTCCAGAAAGTAGTAGGCATATTGCTGCCAAAAGAACCCTACACAGATGTCCTCATAAAGTCGGCAGGATTTTAACTAGTCTCTGAAGAAAATTTACATGAGTATGCTTTCTTTATACCACGATTGGGCAAACTTTTTCTCAGATGTGGGCTAAATAGCAGGATTATGAGTAGGACCATAGTTAAAAGTGGTTCCAAACTTTCCTTCTCTTTCTAATCTTGTAATCCTACTCCTACAATACAAAAAAAAAAAAAAAAAAGAATGAATGAATCTTATCAGAAACCACAATCCTTGATCCACAATTTGCTCATTCCAACAACAGACCATGAATTTCAGGTTCAGTTTGTTGCTCTATTCAACAATTTTATTTTATTTACTGATCTGAGATTAATCCCACAATCCTCCTGATACCCTTAGTCCTATATAAATAACTTTTATGGCAGAATATGGAATACTAAAATGCATCTTTATATAGCTCTCTCCTTTGATAGATAGATGTACATAAGCAACTTTATAAGAAACTGAACTTGTTTTTTTGCTCTGAGTTCTGCCTAACCCTGTTATGGTCATTTATTTCATTTTTAATTCCATATATTTGCTATATTTATATATTTTTTTAAAAAAAATCATCAAATATTTATATTTTTAATGTTCAGGAAGTAGCTCTTTTTCTTAAGTATTGCCACTATAAATGCAAAATACAAACAAACTTTCTCCTGGAAGATGGCATTCCAACATTAAGATCAAATTTCTACAAATTTCCAGAGGAAACTGAACAAATGAACATATTTGAAGAAAAAAAGGAATATTTAATACAAGAAAAATATAGCTAGCATAAGCCATAGCAATAAAAAGTTCCTTTAAAACAAAATAAAGTAAATAAAGATTCCCAATGCTACAATTTCTAAAATGTTTTCTTGTTTCTATATCCCGAGAAAATGCCACTCACCTCTACCAATAACCTAACTTAAATACTGATCAAGAAGGACATCTATGGCATACAAACCATTTGGATAAGTTGATTCAGCACATTAAGCCAAAACCACAAGAATGTGTAAATGCTACTAATGAATCAGTTCACCAATTAAATATATTTCAGATTATAGGATAAGAGGACAAATGGCTAATATTTAACAAGCAAGGGTACATCTGATCTCAAAAACAGGGCTTCATAGATTTCAAGTCAATTCATTCATTAGGTTTTCCTCATGCAATACAACATGCCATAATTTGATTTATTTGATTTTGGCTTAGTATAGTGAGCCCAGCCACTATGATTTGCAAATCACAATTTACAGCTATCATTATATATCAATTCAGTTTATTGTGTTTATTCAATATATTGCATTGAAGTAAGTCAAATGAGTCATGCCACAATATAAAATATAACCATATGGATAAGAAAATGATCCCGAAGTCTCGATCACAGATATCCACCTTGTAAGTTCTGTTACAAGTTACAATGTCAAAACAATGACGTATGCTTGATCACACAAGTGATGCAATTATTCAGTTTGCCTCCTAATGCCCAATGAAAAATATACAAGTTGGATTACTTGTGATTATATCAGAGATGTCATCATTTGCTCCCTGCCCTCAGCAAATGCTCAGGTCTGTAATCCTACTTCAATGTCCTTGAGAACACAGGATAGAAACAAATGAGTTTGTGCTTTTGCTCATTCTTTAATTGTTTCAGAAGAGGGTAGCAACAGAGGGAAAAAACAAATTTTATAATAAATATAATAAATGCATGGTATAGCAAAATTAAGACAGGTGGTTCTTCTCCAAGTTCTAATGACTGTCCCCAAGTAGCACTTTTCCACCATTAGCATTGGATGAATTTTTCCTCTCTTTTTGAAACACTTAAGTTAAAGCAAACACTAATCCTCAGGTTGATACTTCAAAATCCAAATCACTTACCGAAATTATATTTGAAATATATGTTGTCAGCAATTTAGTAATCACTGGCCTTCCATTTAGTCTTCAAACTGATATTTAACAGATCCATGATTTATGGCATAGCCAGTCATGTTTCAGATAAAACATGCCAATGAAAGAACCAAAGTTTCATCATGAAAAAAATAATTTCTTTAAACACAGCACTAAAATCACACCATTTGCTGTCCAAATCTAATTTAGTCTTGATTCATACATATCAATGCTAGCAATGGTTTTCATCAGGTGGGGAACTATGTGAAGTTACCTCTTTCTACATTAAAACAACATACTCTGCATTAAGGTCCATTAAGGCTGAAACATCCTTTGTATAATGTCTCCATATTCACATTTTTGTGGTAGAAGATATACATAGGTAAGTTACTGGTGAGAGAGAGAGGGGGGCAGGGGGAGAAGTAGGTTTAAAGAGCTGTTGAGACATTCTTTAAGGTATTTTTGGAATACCAAAGGTATTCCAAAGTTTTATTTCAAATAATTGCAACTCAGCTTTCCTAGATCATACTAAGTTATACATGTAACAAAGCATGTTGAAAAAGGCTGCAATTCATCAGAATATGTGCATTCTGGTAATAGAAAAATCCTCATTACTACAATATGTCTATGCATGTTTGAAAGAGGCTACACAAGGGTACTGAAAGAGGAAAACCTTTTTATTGGAGAATTTTCATCAGTTTCCAATAAATGATCTTCAGCAAAGTACCTGGTTGTGTATAGAGTCTTCAGCTGAGATTTTTTCCTGGCTGAGATCAAATGAAGTTAGAGAGTATTTGGGGATGCAAATCTCCCAGCAGATTCTGATAAACCTCTGAAGAACCGTAGTATTCTTTGTTGATATCTTTAAAGAATGCAGCTTGGGGATATAATGGTTTAAATCCCAACTGAAAGGGCAGCTTCAGGACTTTTGGTTCCATAAAAGTTTTACTTGTCTTGCTATATACTTAATCTGTATTTTAAACAATATGGGAAGTCATTTAAGATTTAAGTTTGATACATGATTGGGATCTGACTGTATCTCTTATTTCCACCACATTCCAGTGAGATTACTGAAATCCTGAATCATTGCCTGGAGGCAGGAGTAAAATCAACTGGTACAGTAAACTGAAAGTGAATCCAGATGAGACAAACCATTTACAATTCAATCTTGACTATTCTGCAGAACTGTAATTCTGAGCCATCAAGAACAGCACACTTCATCATTATAAAATGTTATTTTTCATTGTTGAAAAATTTACCTTCCACTGACTTCTTGGTTACTAATTACAAAAAGACCATCCATAAAAATGTGTAGGAATATCAATATTCACATTTCATTTTTAGCTTAAACCTAAAGCAGGAAATATAAAATTATGAAACATGGCCTAAAATATTAAGTCTGCACACATGCATAACATCTATGCATATTTTTTAAAAGGAAATAAAGAGAGCAGGCTTATTCACAGAAACACAAGGTGACATTCATTCTGTTCCAAGTGCTAAATCTACAATTTGAAAAGGAAGCCCTGGGGATGACGGAAGCAGGTGTAATTGCTTTGAAGCTGCCTTTCTAGATGCAAGCTTTGTCCTCAGGATGCAATTTATCTTCCTCCCAAAGGAAGCAGAGAATTAACTGAATTTTCATCACTCTGGCACAGCATAATTGTTCCCACATGTTTTATGTCAATGTCAATATGACATTTCCCACTTCAATGAGATCAAGAGAAAACTTACCAATATACTTCCTCCAACCGTTGGCTGTCTTGCCAGACTGACACCCATCCATTCATCATCTCTATCTTCTTTACATGTCTTTCCACAGAATGTTCCTCGAATATTAGCTATAACAAATGCAGGAAGAAGGGTGGGAATTTAGAAATGTTGAGGATGGCATTAAAATATCTCTAGTGGAAATAGCACTACAAATAACTGACCACTATTTTTTCCATCTGGTGGATTCAAAATTATTAATCTTAGCATAGTATACTTATCAATAAAGAGAATACTTCTTTAAAAATGTTCATCAGAGACCGGCAATTCTTGGTCAATCCTGGTATTAGACATTCCACTGAAAACCTATATGAAATCATTATTAAAATATTGGCTAAGAAGAGTTACTTTCTAAAATGTTTCAGTGGTGATTATATCAAGAAAGAAAGGATATAATCTCTCTTAGCCAACTGAGTCATTTTTTGCAAATTCCCACCAGCTGTCATTCATAGACACTCAGGTTGTGCTATCACAGAGGGTAGCAGGAAACATGTAGAGCAAATCATTCCAGAAATGGCAGGTCTAATGTTTTTTTTCTATTATCAACTTCAGAAAACTATTAGATCAAAGCACTAAGAGCCCTTTGAGGTCATAAAAGAGAGGACAAAGGGGGAAAAACTAGGAAAATACCAACATCTGAGGCAGAAATGCCTATTTCCATATTACTTTGGTTCTTCAAGCTAACAGAAAATAAAAGCAGATAAGAAGGACCATATTCCGCCCAATGATTCTAATTCCAATGCCCTCCCATACTATACTGTTTCTACTTTTAAGAAGGCCATTTCCTGTACATTAACTTGTAGATGAAGCATAGTCAGATTTTATGTGGAAGGTTCTATGTTTCTTTGGAAGAAAAAAATGTATTCAAAACAAATAAAGTGAAAGTGAAAGGGTTGTACACTGGTGCATACCTCGACCCATATCCAGCTCTGTGCACCTCTTATCAGGGTTAGTATGAACCCGACATTTGAATACAGCTCCTGGGGACTTAAGAGAAGCACTGTACTTAGAATCTGCCTTTGGGGCACCAACCAAGACCCTGAAAATCAAGAGCAAATAAATGTTTAATATCAGGAAAAGCAAATATACAAGTTTCACAGCGGCAACTCTCTTTTTCATCTCCTGTTTTCCCTCCAGCCATCTGAATCAACAATCCCCCAAAGCAGTAAGATAAGACAAAGTCTTTCCTTCAGTAAATCCATGAAATATTTGAAGGAGTAGAAAATCCCAAAATAATGGCAAACTGAAAATGTTTCTAAGTAATATGTTCTCATCCCACAAAATAAACTACTACAAAAGAACAAGAACAAAAGTTATAGCTTGGCCTTTTGATGTAGTGATATAATGGGAAAGCCATAATTTATTACTTAAAGCAGGAAAATTTGTCATTTGCCCCTAGATCCAGAAGACTGTAGGCAGTAAATTCTGACCTTACTTATCAGCTAAGAGATTTCTTTGCTATTAAACAAGAACTAATCAAGAAACAATCATTCCAACCTGGAATGAATGAAAAAATTGGTTTGAATCAAGACACATTTGATTTCAGCTTACTGCAACATATAAACCCAGTCATTTTAGTTCTAAGTTTATAAATTAGTATAATCCATTAACTCAACCTATTGTTGTTCATTCAATAAATAAAGGAGACAATATGAATTATGCATATGCCATACAGTGAGTGAATTACCAACAAAGAATTCTACCATTCAGAAAAGTCCACGCCTCTTCCATTTATCCAAGACTGATTTCTGGAATAAACACACTAGAACACAAGTTCTACTATAGATTTATATTCCCTTTCTCCCATCCACCCCAACCCTTCCCACAAGGTTCTTCTCAGGTCTGCAGCATGGTTGCTAAAAGAAAAGAAGTGCCCTTAAAACAGGACTGGGCAACATTTGGAATACAGACTCCACATCTTCCTAAAAGCTGTGGGATACTATCTATTAACACTATGATAACACTAAAAGGGCAGGGGTAAGTTTTTTAACTATTTGTTTTTTAGAGATTTATGTTGGAATGGGTACAAGTAGCCTCTCACTCCCACACTTAAAATCTCTAAGATATCTGAATGCCCCCCAAATTATATAATTTTGCTGTCACAATTTGGGACTGCTGGGACTAAAAATAGTTCATTCCTATCTTAAGGGTACATCATATAATTAATTTACAGTGCTAATTACCTCTTCTTTACTAGCTTTGTACATTAATAAAACTGGGAGGATAGATAGACAGAAATATACACCTAGAAAAATAAGACAAGAATGTGTTTGCTGTTTTTTGGGCTATAACTGGCTACACCAAAACCCAGAAAACTACATACTGAAACTTAAACAAACATTACACCAGGAGTGTCAAATTGCTGGCCCGCGGACCGGCTTCATCATACCGGAGCCGCGCCCATCCCACTGCCGGCAATGGCGAAAAAGTTCCGATACGTTGCACAATGTCACGTGACATCGTGAGTTTGACATGTCTGCATTAGAGGAACGGGGATGGTGGTGACTATATTAACAGTTTAATTTCTCCTGAGTTTTGGAAGCTAAACCATTAAAGTATATGATTCTAACAAAGGCTATCTTCTAACTAACAATCTTTTTACAGTGAGAATAATTAATAATCCAAATTCTTAAATTACAGAAAATTACAAAGTCAACAAATTTTGCTGCTTCCATCTGACTAAAATGCCAAATAGCTCACCTGCACATTTGTATGGCTATGTTTCATTCTTTTAACTGACTGATTATCTGAACTCAGAAAAGTCATGAACAGCCATTCATAAAAAAAAAAAAAAAAAAAAATCAATTTACAGCACCTGGTAAGCAATTATAACCAACTGGTAAGAAAAAATGCAGAAATTACAAGCTGGCACATGCAGTTATATTTTAGCTTTTTATGAATTCATTTCCATGTTTCATCATAGCAAAATATCCCAAAATTGCTTTTTCCAGAAGGCAACTAACTGGCCTTTCTTGGCTTTTTCTTTGAAAATGTTTTGCTTCTCATCCAAGAAGCTTCTTCAATAGAATAGAACTGAAGACATTTCCTTGGATGTGAAGTGAAACGTTTTCAAACAAAAAAAACAAGAAAGTCCAGTTGCCTTTTGGGAAAAGCACTTTTGGGATCTCCATGACTAGCATCATTGAGAATCTCCACAGACATCATGGCAAAAAAATAAAAATCAGATGTTATGAACAAATTTCTGGTGTTAGTTTTTGTTTATTAAATGAAATGGTTTGGTTTTATATAACAGAGTTGAAAAGTTCTATTATTGTTCTATTATTGAACATAAAGATTGAATATAATTATTTAAAGAACCATGTATGTTTCTTGCCAAACACAATATTAATTTTAGTCACAGGATTGATCACACAAATTCATTTTATCATTTCAAGGAGGCATAGTATCTAAAATATAAGAATTTCTGGCATAAAGTTTAATGTAACTTGATTTAGTGAGAGAATCCCATTTAAAGATGATGTGGAGACAAGAAGCCTTCTTAAAATGGCTCAGTTCTAGCTAGTGGGAAAGAAATCTATAGTGTAGGAAAAGAAATCGAACGATCATTTTACTTTAAGTCAGTGGTTCTCAACCTTTTTAATGCCGTGACTCAAACCGGTCGTAAGTCGAGGACTACCCAACCGGTTGTAAGTTGAGGACTATCCAACCGGTCGTAAGTTAAGGACTACCCAGCTGGTCGTAAGTCGAGAAATTTCCATGCCCGGGAGCATCGCGCATGCGTGATGCCGCCCCCTGCGCCAGCCGAGGCATAGCTGGCAAGCAGCAGAGATGGCGCAGGCCGACCACCGGCTGGACCACCAGGTGGCCCAGCCCAAGGGAGGTAAGGCACCTGCCGGGCCCCACGCACACCAGCAAACCTCCCTGCGCCCGCCGGCCTGCCATCTCCCACCCCTGGCCCTTTTACTTACATTTTTAGTAGTTGCTCAGCAGGGTGGGGTGGAAGCTTCCAGACAGCTCGCCTTCGCTGCAGACAACTTGTAGAGAGTCTATTCTATTGGCTTTCAAAAGCCAATAGAATAAAAGGGAGCAGCACAGCTAAGGAAAAGGGGAAAAAATGGCGGACTGCGTTGTTTAGCGACCCCCGTGAAATGGTCATTCGACCCGAAATGGGGTCCCGACCCACAGGTTGAGAACCACTGCTTTAAGTGCTAAAACAATTGGTCTAGCACAAGTAATCTTTTGAAAACATTTAGCACACTCGTAAAGTAATTCTGTCTGTTCTTGGTCTGAGTAAGAGCAGAAAATGTTATCTTGCAAATGTGCCAATTATACTGTAGGAAGGCTACTTGTGTTAAGTTAAATAAAAAGAAAGTAACCTTGATCTTGGGACTATATTTTATCTAATGAAAATAATCATAGCAATATCCACAAAACACAACGACTATGCATTAGTATTCCTCCAACAAAATGCTCTTTTGTGAACAAATTATGTATGATCTATGGCAGCGGTTCTCAACCAGTGGGTCGTGACCCCATTTGGAGTTGAACGACCATTTTGCGGAGGTCGCCAAAGTCCTGGAATTTTTCCTCATAAAATCCTTGTGAAATGCAGTCCGGCATTTTTCTTTTGTTTTTTCCTCTTTTTCATGAGCTGTGCTACTCCCTCTTATTCTATTGGCTTTTGAAAACCAATAGAATAGACTCTATTCAAGAGAGTCTATTCTATTGGCGTTCGAAAGCCAGTATTCTATTGGCTTTCAAACGCCAATAGAATAGACTCTCTAGAATAGAGTATAATTCTATTGGCTTTCAAAAGCCAATAGGAATTGTCTAGGCTGTCTCTGCCCTGCTGAGCCCACCAAAAGTCCCAGTCGGCAAACGTTCCTGCAAGTTGTCTGCAGCTAATGCGAACATTCTGGAAAGCTTCCCTCCCTGCTGAGCAACTACTAAATGTAAGTAAAAGAGGGCCAGGGATGGGAGGGCAGCCTGCCTGCCGCTGCACCGAATGGGTGGTGGCCAAGGTAAGGCTACCGGGGCAGCGATGGGCGCAGGGAGGGTAGCTGGTGCACATGGGGCCTGGCGGGTGGCTTACCTCCCTCTGGCTGGGCCAGCTGGTGGCCCAGCCGGTGGTCGGCCTGCGCCATCGCTGCCGTTTGCCATGGCCGCCCAGGAGCACCTGGGCCTGCCTGCTGCCACACCGAATGGGCAGCAGCCAAGGTAAGGCTAGCGGGGCAGCAGCGGGCACAGGGAGGGTAGCTGGCCCGTGTGGGGCCCAGCGGGTGCCTTACCTCCCTTGGGCTGGGCCAGCTGGTGGGTCAGCTGGTGGTTGGCTTGCGTCATCGCTGCCACTTGCCATGGCCACCCAGGAGCGTCTGGGCCTGCCTGCCGCCACAACGAATGGGCGGTGGCCAAGATAAGGCTAGCGGGGCAGCAGCGGGCGCAGGGACAGCAGCTAGCACGCATGGGACCCGGCGGGTGGCTTACCTCCCTTGGGCTGGGCCAGCTGGTGGCCCAGCCAGTGGTTGACCTGTGCCGTCGCTGCCACTTGCCATGGCCACCCAGGACCGCCTGGGCCTGCCTACCGCATGTGTGGCGCTCCCGGGCCAAGGTGGTTGCTGGCCGACGGCCCGCGTGCACCCTCGGCCTACCCGGCATGCACTCCAGCCACAGGACAGGAGGTGGCACGTGCGCGCCAGAGAGAGAAAAATAAAAAGTGAGAGAGAGAATGAGAGTGAGCAAACCCTGCCCCTCCTGCCCCCGCCCGCAGGGAAATACAGGTAGTCCTCGACTTGTGATCACATGGTTGGGGGTCGTGGCATTAGGAAGGTTGAGAACCACTGATCTATGGCAAAGACATAGCTGGGATTTCTGCTTGTGGCTGATTTAAATTAACAGAAGCACATAATGTAGAAATCAATATGTTATTAATCTGAGGCATGATCCCAACTTAAATATATTAAAATCCTACTATTGTAAATGTAAGAATTAAGCATTTTGTTAAATATTCTTCAATGAAATCAAATGGAATGGAATATTTGTTCAATGCCATTTTTGCATTCATCTCTGCAAAATGCAATA